TATTATTACAAATTAATTATTAGTTAATCATCAATTGAATTAGGTAGAAATCAAGTCTTTCAGGTTTTTATTTTTCACCACCAGAAACAGAGTTGATGTAATATCTTGATGATGATGATGATGATTAAGATGAGGACGAATTTAATCATCATCATCTTCAATCCATCATTGATTTGTCACCAAATAATGTGAAAAATGGGTTTGCTTGCCTCTGATATTAAATACTAACCCGTTTTGACATGGAAATCATCCTCATCCTCATCTTTATCTTCATCATTTTTTTCCTCATCTTCCATCAAAGTGTCATTAAAATTTGATGAAAATACACTTCTGCTTCTCTCTCATCATGATGATGATAAAAGATGATGATGATTTCTTGTTTCCTTTGAGATTTGAACATTTGAAATCGCCTCCAGGTAATTTAGTAATATTGTTACTTTGACAGCCCCAATTTACCCTCAGGGTGAATTTTCACTCTCGCCGACTTTTCCTTTCTCTCTCTCTCTCTCTCTCTCTCTCTCTCTCTCTCTTTCTCATCTTCCTTCATAATAATGATCATCATCATAATTTGAGTATCATTTCAACTTGAATGTGATTTAACTTGATCATCTTCATCTTTCAAATGATTGACCATCAATCACCTTTAATAATATTAGTTAATATGAAATCATCTCTACAATTAATTTAATAACAATCTTTTTTCATTATCTTATAGTGAATCTTTTAAAATCTTGAAAAATTAGCTTAATAGTTAATCACAATCAAGCATAATCATAATCATCATCAGTAACAATCATAAACAATAATCATAATATTAATAACAAAACTCATATCCCAACACCTTGGTAACAATTTAACAGAGAAAAAAAAAGTTTCAATTCAAATGACAAATTAAAAATAAATTTTACACAATCTAATCATCAGGATTAATCATGTTCATGATGATGATGATGATACAAATTAACAAACAACAGTTAACAACAATCAGATTAAGATCAATCAAGGTATATTATTACAATGATAATAAGGAAGAGGATGATGCAAGATGATAATGATAATTTGCCCTCAAGGTAAATTGATATTATTTTGGAGTAAATTGTTTAAATGATGTTCAATCCTGTTGAGATGATGATGGATCATCAGTTGATCATCCTGATCATCTTCTTGTTATCATTAACAATTATCATTGTCTCTATCAATTGTTTCTGATTGTATTTTTTACCAGTGGCTTTTGAATTAGTATTACCTTGATTAACTTAATCTTAAATCATGATTAACTTGCGTGCAACTCACAGCAATTGAAAAGTTTAATATGTTTTCCTATTCCAACCGTGTTAACAATCAATTGTTGTTGTTATTTATTTACTTTTTTACTCAACAATTACAATCAAAATGAAATGAAATGAATACAATCAACAAAACAAAACAATTTAAATGTTGTTGTCCTTTTTTGTTTATCATTACCATTAACTTTGATCACTAATTATAATGCTAATCATTTGATTGCCTTAAGTTAATCACGATTTTAAATCTTTCAATTAATATAACGATAAACTCATACAAACAATTTAAAGCAAAGTTTATTTAATTTTCAATTTCCGTTTCCAGGAAAGATTTGTAATAATTGATTAACTAAACCATCACAATTAACAACAACATAATTCACATTGAATGGTGATCAATCAAGTAATCATATTAAAATATAAACTTAAACAAATATGAAAAGTGAAAATTAAACCTTTATAATTGTGATTAATTAATCATGATTGTTATTATTAGATTGATATTACAATTATTTTAATAGTTGGGAAAAAGTTAATCCAATTGTTTGAAAAAAGTTTCTCGTTCCTATTTAATGTTACCTGTAATTTGTATATACATTTTATCACAATATAAGTTTGATGTAATAAGTCAAACAATTTGATGAAAAAGTGTCAATTTTAAATTGTGAGTTAAATAAATAAAACAACATTTAAAGGTAAATCATCAGAATGATTTATAAATTGTGATTTATGTCAAAAATGAAAGTTTCTACTATTAAATCAACAGAATCACTTGGAAGAGGGAAAAATTATTTCCATTGACATTTGAGTTTCTCAGGATTCTTATTACTATTATATGTATGTTACTTATCATCTTCATGATGATGCTCATCATCATTATCATCATCATCATCATCTGATGTCATGATAAGGTGATAGATTTGAATTAAACAGGACATTGGTCATGATGATGATGAAGCTCATCATGAACATGGTTGACATTTTTAATCCAACGGAAAGATTGACATTTATTTGACATTCATTTGAATGGGTAAAGTCATTTGTGTGTTTTTTTTTGGTGCAATTTACTAATTGTTGCTTTAATTTTGATTAATTGTGTCATTCCAATTTAACTCTTGCAATTGCAATTGTGTGTCAAGCTTAAATAGCTTTGGTTTTAGTTTTTGCTTTGCTATTATTAATATTATACAATATTTTCTTGCAACAATTAAACAGCAATTAAGTTTAATGATTAACAAAATGATGTCCCATTGATTACAATCTTCCCTGATATTACCAATCAATCAAAGATTCACAATTTTCAGTTTCTCTTTCTTAATCATTGCAATTAGATTATATCATTAGTTTTTCCCACAATCAATTTTGTTAATTTTCTGCAAACTGTCAATGATAATTAACCCAAACAAATCAATTATGTTTAACCTTTATTCAAGTTGATTGTTTGATTGTAATCACTTTTTTGTTAACTAAACCATCTGCCTGTTAATTGTGTCGTTTGTTTTTAAACAAAATCAAATCAGTACAGATGATAATTATTTTGATTATTATCATTAAAATTATCATTCATGATTACAATCAGTTAGTTAGTTAGTTAGTTAAGTAAATGATTTTCAGGTAAACTGAATTAACTTTAATTTAACTGTGGAGAGAGTGAAACAATTTACAAATTGGGATCAATTTTGGAAACGTGTAAATATCAATTAATGAGTCTAATTGTTAATCAATAATTTCAATGATATCACCAGTTAATCAATGGTCCGGTTCAATTAATATCATGATATTATTATCATGGTTAACTAATTACTGAATCAAAAAAAAAGTTTTCCGGAAACAATAAATCTTATGGATATAAATGTTTACTCAGGAAATAGTATTTGTCTCATTTGATTGTTATTATTAAATTAAGGTAATCAATCAACTTATCAGTTGATTAAACAATTGGATTTAAGTTTAATTGATATTAATTTGATGACAACAATAAGCTAATCACGATGATTATGAAAAATTGTCAGCCAATTGAAATGATTCATTTCAATTTTTGATTAACTTTTTTTCTTGCTAATCCTTGAACTTACCAAGTTAATGAGTTACTTAATAATTCAACAATTAAGGTTTACAATCAATGATAATTGTGATTAAAATGTTTTCGCATGAAATGAAAGGTTGCCAGTATTATATTGGACATTTAATCGTAAGGTTTGAAATCAATATGATGATGAAAAGGAGATCATCTTGGCAACCAATGATTACCCTCTGGATGATGATGATTCTGAAAGAAACAGTCTAATTATATATCACACAGGATGATGATGATGATGATGATGATGATGAGGAGTCAGTGGATGTTGTTGTTGGTTTGACAATTGATTGATGGAGATTCGGATGAAGAGGAGGACTCATAAGTTGAGGGTGGTAAGAGTGAGTGGAGAGTGAGAGTTGATTTATGTGTCCAAGCGAATTTTTGGAAGATAAAGAAAGAGAAGGAGAGGAGAGAGAGAGAGAGAGTGAGAGAGTGGGTCCTGATGATGATGGTCCTGGAAGAAAAGATCCAATGAAACCAGAAAACAACTTTTTCTTTTTTCTATTCCAATACAATCTTCCAATTGATGGTCAATTCATCAATTTTACTTCTATTGGGGAGATGGACATCAAAGTAAGAGAAAACGAGAGAGAGAGAGAGAGAGAATAACGTTACTAGGCCCGAGGGAGTATTGATTCTCTTCTTTGTCAGTGAGAAGATCATCATCTTCATCTTGTTGTTGATGCTTAAAACTGCTTTGGGTCAATGGTAAATGAATGTGAATGAATGAAAGGATCACTTAAATTGGTCAAGAAATAGAAACAATTTTTTTCTCGAGGGAGTCATTCAAATAATATTCTCTTTCTACCTCCCTCACCCACTTTTTCATCATCATTAATATCATCTAGCCCCCTTCATCTCTCTCGTCATTTACATTTCTCATAATCTCTTGCTTTTTGACAACTCTTTCCTTCCCTTTAACTTGATGTCTTGTCATTTACAAATCACTTTTGATATGTAACTAGAAATATCTTCCTCATCATCATCAAATATAGATGATGCCGATAAAAGATGAGAGGATGATAATCATCATCTTATCACACCATAATCTTGATCATTATCATATTTATATTGAAACAGAATCAAGACAAAAAAAGAAAGAAGAAGAAGAAAAAATCGATTTTTTGTCCGAAAATAAGTTCATCATCTTCTTATTGATAAGACAGAGACAAATAAGAGATGAAGATGATAAGAATGTGATGAAGAGAGTAAAAGAATAAGTATCAATAGAAATAAGCAAAATCAGCTTCTCATGAAACATGAAGAGATTGATAGAAAAGATGAACAAGAGAAAGATGAAAGTGAGAGGTTGATGATTGAAGAGAAAAAGGTAAGATGAAGATGAAGATGAAGATGAAGATGAAGATGAAGATGACAATAGTGATGAAAATCATGAAATCATCAGAAAAGTGGTAAGAATGTTTTATCTTCCTTCTAATTCTGGTGAATATTTCTCTTCCATCGTTTTGTTTACTTAAAATAGATTCTCTTCATTTAGTTCCATACCAATGATTCCATAGATTCCATATTATCATCAACAACAACACCAACACTCCCCCAATACCCTCTTCCACCTCTTCGATCATCTTCATCCGCATCCTCATTCTCATCATCATCATCATCTCTCTCTCTCTCTCTGTTTCCTGTCTCCTTGACTCCAAATGAAACATTTCATGTTGATTCAAGCACAAATTGATATTTTCATCTAATTGGAAGCAAACTTGTTCACTTATTATCATCATCATGATAATCATTATTATTACTTACTTAGTTGATAAATTGCAATCAATCAAAATAATAACCAATAGACAGCTAAGAATCAATTCCAACAACTGATAAACTTTTTCATTCTCATTTTATTGACAGTGTTTTCATTTCATATACAAGTTCATGTATCTACCTTTTCTTTACCTCTCTCTCCCTGATAATCATTATCATCATAATAGTAATCATGTTGATTACTGTTAATCATAATAATAATAATAATAACCCATCATTGCAATCAAACAATAGATAAACATACTAAGGGTTTTCCTTTTATTTTTCTTGTTTTTACCTGTCAACCTATTCAACAATTTAAACATCAAAACTTATCAAAAAAAAATATATTATCCAAACGGTAAACACACACATCAATCAAAGGTTAAATCATTCAGTTGATTGATGTTTTGACAATCAATGAGTCTGGATATTCAATATTATCATTATCTCACCAGGTATGGGAATATACATGGGAACAATTAATTTCTGTTGGGTTAATCTAGTTGTTATCTTCAGGTAATAATAATGATGATGATTAACATGATTGTTTATCATTTGGGTTGTAATTTAATTCCAGTTCATTGATTATTGTTAATGTTGTTTAACTTTTACCTTGATCTTTGTTTTGTTTTTGTTTTTGTTTTTAAATGATTATTATTATTTAGATGAACCAGTTTATTGATTAACCAAATTGTCTATTGATTGTTGATCAATTGATCTGATTGTAATATAATCCAACAGGTCCAATGTTTCCCTATGATAATTGTAACAAATTGTTAGTGAAATTTTGGTGATTTTTGAAGTAAATTGTGATGACAGGAAAATTTCATCAAATTGTTGTGGTTTTATTTTGTCACAATCAATGTTACATCAACTAGAACTTTAATATTTTTACTCACCCGTCACGGTCTCTCCTTTTTGTTGAGAAAATCTCTCTCATTTTTATATATATAACAAAACAATCAACAGTTTAAAATGATAATTGAATTGTTTGGGCGGAAAAATTTTCGCCTAAATTGTTGTTCAATTTGTTGTTATTGGTCCTCATGAGACTAATACATTGAGATACTTTCATTCATCTTCCATTTTTCCCGCTCTTTTTTATCCTCTATCATCTTTTGACATCAAAAGAGAGAGAGAGAGAGAGAGAGATACTGAAATCGACTCTCTTTGCTCTCTTTTTTTTCTTCATCATCTTTCTGTAAAGATAAACCAGCAAATCTTTCAACAACTTTACCGTTATACCTTCTTGTAGCCTTCCACCTCCCATAGACCCACCCCACGCTTGTTTCTCTTGTTTTTTGTCTCTCTTTTTCACCTCTCCTTCTCTCCTTCTCTCCCTCTCCCTCTATCTCTCTCTTTTTCTATTTGGAAAAAGCTTGTTTCAATTCCAATATTTTGACAAGCCTTTTGACTTCACCCAAGCACAAAATCATACAACCCACAACAAGCCTCACTTAACTGTTCATTTTAAAGGTTATCCTCACTCTCTGCTGTATTAGAAGTGGAAGTAGTAAATAAAATACACTTACACATATTTAGAAGGAAGAGAAAGAGACAAAAGAGATGATGAAAAGTGGAAGATATTATTTGTTAAAGAATAGATTGGATAATCTTCCTTTCCATCAATAGTCTATCCATATCTTAATATTTTATCACTTTTTCACTTCGTTGTGTTAACCATTATGTCTCTCGCCATGAAACCGTTTCATTTTCCCTGAATATCAACAGCTTAAGTAGAGACTTTATCTTCATCATCACCACATGATTTACTTATCATCATCACCATGTCACTTTACTTTAGAAAAGATAAAATAATAACAAGAGAAACAAATAATATTAAGAATAAAAATTATTACAAATCAGCAAAAAAGAGAGAAAAATCAAAACGAAAGGTAAACAAAAGTACCAGAGAAAATGGAAAAAGAATTGATCAATTTTATATGTATGACAACATCTCAGCACAGGAAAGAAGAGTCAAACGATATTGAATTGAGAGAAAACAATTAAAATCAGAGAGAAATTAACAACTGTAATTAAATTAGAAAACAATTAAGAAAAAGACAATGAGAAGAAAAAAAAATCAAAATGGAAAAGTAAACAAATCGACAGAAACGCCATCTGGTGGAATAGAAGGAAACATTTTAAATTATTCGAAATGAGAAAAAGAAACAAAAAGTTTTTTATTATAATTAGAATTTAAATTTGTGGAAAAAAATTCCTAATCAGCAGAAATTGAATAGAAAGGTAATTTTAATCAGAATTATGTAGAAAAAAAAGTGAGAAGAAAAAAAAACCTAAAGAAGCGAGAGAAAAAAGAAACAACAATAAACAAACAGAGATGGAAACTAATCATAATCATGATAATCAAAGTAATGATGAAAATAAAATGTAGCTTGAAAGGGGAGAGAGAGAGAGAAAAGAAACACAAAATTAAATAAATTACCAAGAAAAGATGATGATGATGATGAAGAAAAGAAGAAGAAGAAAAAAACAACAGAGACTTACCTTAATATCCAAAAGTTGAAGCGTAAATTATATTGGCTACCATTTATATCTAATATTACAATTCCCATTCTCTTTGTTATTATGATATTTATTATCATCATCATCATCATTATACATCATCCTATATAATGATGATAATAAAAAGCAAGATGATGATGATGATGAAGAAAAAGAAATGATTATCTTCCGCCATCTTCATCTATATATTAGTCAAAGAAAGAGATTGAGTGATATTTTACAAAATCATTTCTATGTGTCATAGAATAAATTTCACCTCCTTCTTTCACTCATCATCATCATCATCATCATCATTATATCATCCTCATCAAAACTTCTCCCACTCCCACCCACTCCTCTTTCTCTTTCTCTCTGAAGTAAATGAGCCCTGCAGATATAAATCACCGGTAATGTTTCACTTCTTTCACTTTAATTCATATAAATAATACGAAGCCTGGAATGAGAACTGGGAGTGAGAATTATGAGTTTCCATATAATAGTAGTCTCACTATCACATTTATATTGACTCCCGACTGATTCGTGCAAGTCACAATTTATTTTATCTTCCTTATCATCATCATTATATTAACTCTCTCTCTCTCTCTCTCTCTCTTCCTTTCTCTCGCATATAATTAAGAGTAATTTTTTAGCTTACTTTTAATTTGATTTTGTCAAAATTTATATACACCAATCAAGAATCCTATTATTATTATCATTTATTATTACTTGAGCTTTTTCAGAATGAAAATAATGATGATGAGAAGAGGATGAGGATAAAGGAATGGGAAATTATCATCATCAACTTTTATTTAATTTATTATGATTAGTATCATCAACTGATTTGTTCATCAACTTTTAATATTAACATTTTCATGATAAAAATATGAAACTTTGTTATTGTTATAAAAAAATTTTATTCGTAGTCATTGTGAAAATTTTAATTGATTTACTAATTGTCATTTGTTTATTGTTTTGATTAGTGAGGGTGGACAAGGTAATAAATATTAAATGAGTAATTCAATTATCAATTAACTAACTGATTATTTCACAGGTAAATGTTAAGATGGTCACCTTGAGGCTTTTGATTGTTGATGATTTTAATTTGTCAACATTATTGTTGCACAATTAACCAATTAACCAATCTAATGAGAGTTTAACTCAATTTGAAACAATTAAGATCGTTATACTTTAAAAGTCATTGATTGTTATTGTCATATTACAATAAGGATATTGTTGTTTATCTTGATCAACTGATTTCATTAAACTCTGATAATAATAATTTAAATTGTGAAAGCGATGATTGTAATATTGACAGAGTTATCATTAATTTGATTATTTATTGATTAAGTTTAACTTGAATTAGTGTAATATTAATGATTGTTGGAGAGACAGAGGAAGAGGGAGAGATATGATAAACATAAAAGATGCGGATGAAGAGTAGGTGATGGAGAAAAAGTTAATATCGTAAATTGTGACTGATTTGTTTGATCATTTTGATGAGAAACTGTCAAATAAATGTCAACTTGATTCACAATTAATGGTTTCCTTTTAACTGTTAAAATTTGAACAGAATGATAAAGATGATGAGGAAGATAAGAGGAGACATGGAGGACAAAAGCTGACCTTTAGTTTATCATCATCATCATCATCGACTTTACCTTTGTAAAAACAATGAATTAACCAGAAGCTGATGAAGAGGATGATGAAGATGAGGTGGGATGGATGATGATGATGATGATGATGAGGGATGAATGAAGTGGTAGTTAATAAAAAGCCACAATAAGTTGATGAATAAAGAGGAAGATAAAATAAATTTCTCTTTCTTTTTATCATCTTTCATCATCATCGCTTTTTTGTCACTGATATTAATTTTTGGTGACATTTTTCAACATGAAACATTGAAAACACAACAACACAAATTAATTGATCAATTGACACAATTAAATGAACAACAATATTTATCATGAAAAACTAAATCAAACCCAATAAGACACAAGAAATTAGTGAAAATAAGTTCAATCAATCAACAATTAAATTAACCATCAAATGTGTTTAAGTTAAAATGAAAGCTTTCGAGTTGACAAACAATTAACCAACCAATATCATTGAATTAATTAATGGGCAACCTTAACAATTAAATGATTCACACCATCAGATTTAATTTCAATACAATCATAACTTAATCAACGGTGATAAGGTAACAATCAAATACACTGATAATTTCAATCAACATTAACAATAACAATAAACTATTAAGAAAATTAAATCTGCTACTTGGTAAACAATTTAATAAATAACGATTATAATACAATATAATCAATGATAATAATTCAAATTGATTAGTTGATTGTTTGACAGTTGAACCCACTAGAGCGATCATGATTTATTAGAGGAAAAAAATGATTCCTTGTTAACCTTGAGCTGTTTTTCATAACAATTTACAAACCGAATTAAAATTAAATTGATTTAATATGTTAACATTGATTAACTAAACGTTCATCATCATCATCATCTAAATCATTATCTTCATCATGATGGTGGAAAAACAAAACAAAAAAATGTAAAGGTAACAAAACAATTTCTACCCATGTTCAGATTTTTCATTTTCTTGCCCTCAGGCTCATTATCTTATCCCACCTCCCACTTCCTCCCCTTGTTATCCTTGAAAATGATATTGATAATAAATAATAAATTACTGAATAAAGGAAAATGATTTGATTAATGTGTATTAATCAACTAATCATGATAACCGATCCCCTTTAGTTAATCAAAAGGAATCGGTGAAAAATTGGAAAAAAATTTCTACAATTTAACCTTCATGATAATGATTCCTGTTAATTGTTTCATTTCATACAACTGAGAAGCAGATTTCATGATGATGGTGACTAATTGATTGATTTAATTCGTTTTCCATTGATTACAAGTTCTAATTGTAACCGGAAGTGATCGAAGGGAATTTTTTTCGAAATTTAAAATTGACTTTTTTCGTTACCTTCCTTTTACTCTCTCTCTCTCTCTCTCTCTCTCTCTCTCTCTCTTCCTTCCTTTCTCTTTCTCTCTCCGTGCCTTTTGCTCACTCGATGCTATTGTCATTCAATTGGTAGATTATGATTGGAAAAATTTATCATTGATAATATAATGGGTTCAGTTGTAATTGTTACAAGGTAATAAAAATAGGATTGACCATTGGGCAGTTGTTACTATTACGACTTAAAGTCAATCAGTGATTTATGTTGAGACCGAAGATGAAGAAAAGAAAAGGTAAGAAGATGATGGAGAGAATTTTTTTTAAGACAAACTTATCTTCATCTTTCTTTCTTATGCTCTCTCTCTCTCTCTCTTTTCATCTTCTTTTTCTTTGTTTATTACCTTTTTTCTCATCTTGATAACAACAACTTCTGGTTTTTACCTTTGCCATTAGTTTTATTATATAACGTTTCAGGTCCGTTATGTTATGATGATAGAAGGATGATAAGGAAGACAAATAGTGAGCCAGTGAAAGAGAGAGAGAGAGAAGAGGTGGGAGAGGGGATAAGATGAAAATTTATGAGTTACCAATGACAAGAAAAGGGAAAATGGCGAAAAGTGTATTTTATGAGCTTCTGGTTTCGCATCAATGTTATAACATTTGACTGAAGAAAAAGAAGATAAAATAAATATCTCTTTCTTTCTCTCTTTCTCATCATCATACCTTCTTCCCCCTTTTCTCAGGGAGTTTTGTGAAAGATTATCATCATTATTATTACAACAATTATTATAGTGAGTCAATGGGCTAAGAGAGAGAGAGAGAGATGAAGTTCTATCAAAACGAAGAAAAAAATAATAACCGAACCTAATAAATTATCTTCTCAACTTTTCATCTTCTAATATCGAATAAGGAATAACATCAAATTTTTCTCTTACTTTCCTTTCTTTCTTCTCATCGATTGGTATTAGTGACTCTTCTCCCTCTCATCATCATCAAAAAACGATGTTCCCTCATTTTATCATCTTCATCCTCATCCTGCAGCTCAATCAGAGATGCGTGTTTTTAAAAATGCTGCCAAGTTAAATTTATGATTGTTTCCATAAATTTGCTGTAAAGGTTGTCATAATTCTTGTAAGAGAGAAAAGAAAGAGGATGAAGATGATAAAGATGATGAGAGAATTTTTTAAGACAAACTTATCTTCATCTTTCTTTCTTATGCTCTCTCTCTCTCTCTCTTTTCATCTTCTTTTTCTTTGTTTATTACCTTTTTTCTCATCTTGATAACAACAACTTCTGGTTTTTACCTTTGCCATTAGTTTTATTATATAACGTTTCAGGTCCGTTATGTTATGATGATAGAAGGATGATAAGGAAGACAAATAGTGAGCCAGTGAAAGAGAGAGAGAGAGAGAGAAGAGGTGGGAGAGGGGATAAGATGAAAATTTATGAGTTACCAATGACAAGAAAAGGGAAAATGGCGAAAAGTGTATTTTATGAGCTTCTGGTTTCGCATCAATGTTATAACATTTGACTGAAGAAAAAGAAGATAAAATAAATATCTCTTTCTTTCTCTCTTTCTCATCATCATACCTTCTTCCCCCTTTTCTCAGGGAGTTTTGTGAAAGATTATCATCATTATTATTACAACAATTATTATAGTGAGTCAATGGGCTAGAGAGAGAGAGAGAGAGAGAGAGAGAGAGATGAAGTTCTATCAAAACGAAGAAAAAAATAATAACCGAACCTAATAAATTATCTTCTCAACTTTTCATCTTCTAATATCGAATAAGGAATAACATCAAATTTTTCTCTTACTTTCCTTTCTTTCTTCTCATCGATTGGTATTAGTGACTCTTCTCCCTCTCATCATCATCAAAAAACGATGTTCCCTCATTTTATCATCTTCATCCTCATCCCTGCAGCTCAATCAGAGATGCGTGTTTTTTAAAAATGCTGCCAAGTTAAATTTATGATTGTTTCCATAAATTTGCTGTAAAGGTTTGTCATAATTCTTGTAAGAGAGAAAAGAAAGAGGATGAAGATGATAAAGATGATGAGAGAGAAAAGAGAAAGGGAATGATGATCTGCATGAAGATGATATATTTTGAACTAAAAACCATTAGCGGGTCAAATGATCCTTCGGGATGATATTCCTCTCTCCTTTCTCTCTCTCTCTCTCTCTCTCTTTCTTTCTTTCTTTCTTTCTTTCTTTCTTTCTTTCTTTTTCTCTCTCATTTTCATCTTTTATCTTCATCATCCTCATCTTTTCGCAACCGTAATTATGTATCCATCCCTGACGAACCTCAACTTTCTCTGCATCTTTTTTTTCATCATTTTTTATGTTTCGTTATTTTGGATTCTTTTTTTTTGTAATTGATTTGCTTTAGGGCTTTATCTTTATACTAACAAGTTTTTATCATCATCATTATCATCCTCATCTTCACCTGTCTCTGTCTTTCTCTCACTTAAATATTAGCGAATGATGAAAATGATGATTACTTTTACTGTCAAACAAATTACATGAATCTTCAATTCTGATAACATAAATTGTCAACGTAAAGAAACAGAGAAATTGATTAATTTACATTCAATCTAATCACAATTAACGTAATCAAATCAAACGTTATAATTAAACATGATTCAGGAAAACTTGATTAAGTTATAAATCATTTTTTTCTCGTAGTAAATTGTAAATAAATTCAATATAAAAAATTATTTGAAATTTCAATGAAAAAAAAAATGGATTTAATTTATGAAAGAAATTATTTTATTTTCTAAATCTTGATCATTATCATCATTTACCATGATGATAGTTCATCAAGAAAGAGAAATGAGATAACCATGAATTCATGGAAACACATTCATGAATCTATGGTATTTGTGATGTATTTATCTTGATGATATTCATTTGAAACTTTTTCACATTCTTATAAAGTATTCAAGGAATCATGGTAATGATGATGATGAGGATGATGAGAAGCTATCAAGAGGCTCATCATCATCATCATCACTTCAACTGTAAGTATATGCGATATTATTCAACGAGAGAGAGAGGGAGGGAGAGAGAGAGAGAGAGAGAAGAAAAAAAATGTTACTCATTTGTACTCATTGAGGTTTTCAGTTTCAGAATCAGGGTAAGAAGATGAGTTTGATGATAATGATGATGAGGAAGATGAAAAAAAATCTAGATTTATAGTGATTGTCTGAAATAATACTCACAGAATTCATGATAAGTTCAGAAGATGAATACTTTTACTCTAAACTGTTTTCAGAGAAGGTAAAAGGAAGAAGGGAAATTGATGCTGCTCATCAAGATGTTGATCTTGATGATGATGATGATGATGATTATGATGATCACCATCATCATCATCAGTATCATGATGCAATTCATAGTTTTTTGTTTCCTTTGGTAATTTATCTGAATAACTTTTTTTTTCTCACTGAGTAAAATGAGCTCAAGATATAAGCAAATATCAGAATAAGATGTTCATCTAATTGACTTTATTGATGGGTTCAATATATTTTTACCTTACAATCATCATCATTATCATCATCTTGTTGATGATGATGATACTAAAAAGATATGCTGTTGATGATGATGAGCATGATAATCATAATCATTATTATCATCACTGATCATTATCATTATATATCATGTTGAAGGCTTTTTTTCCTGGGGTTTATCTTACAAAGACATTGAACAATTTTTTTTTTCATCTTTTTGTTTTCTCCATTGAATAAAATTAAAGTTAATCGTAGCCACTTAATCATTAATCATTGGGTTACAATTAACTTTCAAACTGTTTAATGATACAATTAATCAGTTTGCCTATTGATCAATATTATCAAGAACTTTTTTTCTCATAGTCGAATTGAAGAAATTGACTTTGAATCAAATTTTTCGTTTTCGCGCCGATTTTTTTTCTTGGATTTTTCATAAAAATAAGTGTCAAAGAAAAGTTTCAATTCTTAATTATTTTGGATTTTAATTGAGTTTTTTTTTGTCATTTTCTCAGGTATGTGGTGTGGACAATCATTTAAGACACTTGAAGATATGACCCGTCACATGAGGGTCACTCAGCATTACACGAATATCATCAGTCAGGAGCAGATTATTTCCTGGAAAACTCCGGAGGATAAATTGGCTCAGGCCCATGTGAATGCAGTTCTTACCTGTAAGGTGTGCGATGAATCGTTTGGTTCATTGAAAGAATTGTCTAATCATATAATCAAGAATGCTCATTATAAGGAACACATCATACGAAGTATGACCGAGGGTGGACATGGTCGTCGTCGGCAGACTCGAGAGAGAAGGAAAAAATCACTCCCAGTTAGAAAGTTATTAGAATTGGAGAGGATGGAATTGGTTGGTAAAGAGGGTGGTGAAGGTGAGGGAACTTCAGGAGGTGGTGGAGGGCGAGGTGATCATGAGGGTGAAATGGAAGGTGATGAATCTTGTTCTTCAGGGGAAAGAGCTTCATCTGCATCTCCCTCTCCAGCACCGACCTCCTTTCAATCAGCTGTTCATCCTTCATCATCTCCTTCCCTATTACCTCCTCCACCTCCACCTCCTGCTCACCAAAATTCATCCCATCATCATCATCCTCATCATCCACCTTCTTCCTCTTCTCATCATTCCATATCGAATCTTAAATCATCCTCATCTCGTAGTGCCAAAAATGATTACAATAATCATCATCATCCTCATCAAATGATTATCAATCCAACAGAAATAACCGGATCAAGATCATCATCAACCTCATCTTCATCATCATCAATGATTACCTGTGATGAGTGTAATGAAAAACTGGATGCCAAAAATTTTATCGCTCACATCAAAATTTGTAAATCACTTCCATCCTCATCAGTTGATAGGAAATCACCAAGTCTTACCAAATCATCACCACCACCTCACCAAATTTTACTTCCCTCAAGTCCAGCTCGTGTAAATGTCAATACAATTAATTTATCTTCATCACTTAAGGTGCCAACATCATCATCATCCTCATCACCTTTATCAACAAATGCCAATAATAAAAACAAAGAGATTATCAATTCAAGTAACAATAATAAAGATTCAGAGGGAGGAATAAGAATTAAAGTTGAACCAACAACTGGAAGTTCAATTTTAAGCTCATTTGGATTGAATCATCAAGGTTCAGCTGATGAGCCGCTTGTAAGTTCAGGTAATTCACCGCCGATGGGAAGTGGGTCTTTCCTTTCATCTATTGAAAAGTTGATTGAAAAATCATTTGATTCAAAATCGCGACGAAATCAAACAACCGGCATTTTACAGAGACTTGGAATCGATGAGGAGGTTTGCCCGCCGTGGCAAAGTCTTTCCGGTTCTTCTCCAACAAGTGGTCATCAAGGTGGACCGGGTGGTCATTCTTCTGGTCCATCGTTCGCATCTTGGTCAGCACAATTGGAAAAATACTCATTTCACAATTTAAAGGAACGATTGTCAACAAGTCCCGTACCTTCTGGAGCATCATCTTCATGTATTGGTGCTCGCGGTGAAAATGGTTCTCTATCATCATCGGCATCTTCATGTGACGATTCAAATAGTTCACTAGGGCCTAGTCCTCATCCGCTTCTTAAATTGCAACAATTACATTCTGAATCATCAGCTAACCAAAACACCAATCACACCAACAGTAAACAACATAATCGTAATCGGAAAATATCAATCACTGAGGCCAAATTACCTGCCACAGGCTCACCTTCAGCCGCAGCCTTAGCGGCAGCAGCCGCAGCAGCAGCGACAACAACCAAATCGACATCAGGTACTGGTGCTTTAGAATTGACAGTAACCGAGTCAAAAGGACCAAAAAGCCGAACCTCATCATCCAAAGATGATCCAACTAAAGGTATTTCCAATCTCCATGCTCCTCCATCGTCCTCGTCGTCTTCATCATTCCCAATGTCCTCGATGATTTCTCGCCTAGAGGAAACTATTGCTCGAATAACTGGTCCAACATCGACATCCAGTTCATCTACACCGAACATGACGATGACCAGTACTACTACACCAATGATCGGTTCAAATAATATCAATCGAAGTACTAAAAGTAATCATAACAATAGTCAATTAACAAGTAATAGTCCAAGTCCATCTTCAGTTCATTCAAATAGCTCGAATCCTGGTACACCTTTGGCCAACCATCATCACCACCATTCGGCAACACATCATCAATCCTCTCGTTCTCATCATCATCGATCCTCTCCATCAACACGAAAACAACAACAAAATACTTCACATCATTCCACTTCCTCATCTTCTTCCCACCGGTCACATCATTACTTGACCCACTCCACTCATCGATCTGATCCTCTTTCATCACCTCCCCCACCACCAGCCACTTCATCAACCACAACCACCACAACAACAATATCAAAAGTTACGCCTCATTCCCAATTATCTTTATTAAGTAAATTACATCAACAAACCGATCTAACAATTACTAAATCTCCAATTAAACGGGAATCACTTTCAGAATTAAGTGAAGACGATCAACAATTAATTGGACCACATTCACCTAAACGTCGATTCCGGTCAAGATCGGAAGAGGAATCAGCTGGTTCACCTGATCGATCTAATCCGATTTCACCTGAATCACTTCGATCTCCTGGTGTATCAACACCCGATTCCATTGATTCAGAAAGATCTCAGGCTGAAGACTTATCCAAAATTAAGTGAATCAAATTTCCATTGATTAACTGGATTAACACTCGATAATTTGATTAGACACTTTTAATCATCTTCTCAACTTTTAGGTTTTGTTTTCATTCAATTACTATTATATAAACAACAATTTCAATGATAATAAATTTGAATCCAAATTTCAAAGCAAAAATTGAAACAATTATGATTTTTTTTCATCTCGGTAAAATTAAATTAACTCTTTAATTACAATATTTGACCACATTTCAATTGATTCAGTTCAACTTGTGCCAATTTCTGCTTATTAATTGATAACTTGTCTAATTATTAAGTCTTTAGAAATGAGATAATCAGCAACGATTAAACTTAATCATCAAGTTAACTGTTAGAAAGTTGATCAAATTTGATTGAGTTGAAATTAGTTTTGATTTTGTCTATTTTCCCAATGATCATTTTATCCGAGAATGAGAATTGAAAATCAATAGTTGATTGATTTTCTGTTCACATTTGAATGAGACTTTGAACCTTCATTGAATTAATAGTTAATCAATATGTTAACAGTAATTAAGGCAGTGATTTAGTCAACAATTAAACAAGTGAAACAATTGATGAGCTCAAATGAAGAGAAAAAAAAATTGCATCAAGATGAACATAAGAAAAAAAAAGAAAAGTTTTCGAGGTTTAATGTAACTGAGCGGATAGTGGGAGGAGGAAGATGATGGGAAGGAGGTGGTGATGAGGATGAAAATAATGATGATGATAATGATGATAATAGTAGGAGGTTGATGATTATGATCAAGAAGATGAAAAAAAGGGAGAGAGGTAGAAAAGGTTAGAATTCTTAAGCAAAATATTTATTTCACCTACGAGAGTTGTTTTTAAAAAAGGAGCATAAGATGATGAGGAAAGATGATGATGATGATGATGATGAGGGAAAAAAATCCAAGGAAGATGAAAGTTATCACATAAAAAAAGGGAAAGGATAAACTGAACTGGGAGTGAAAAAAAGACATTTAGACTTGGGATATAAATGGATAGTAATAATAGAAATGATAGAAAGAATAGAAAATAGCAATTGAAGAAAATAACCAAAGAGAGAGAGAGAGAGAGAGAGAGGAGAGGGTAAAGAATGATGAGGATGATAGAGGAAGAAGACGATGATGAAGATGAAGGAGGTGGGTGGAGGAGGAGAAAATTTTTGACGAGTTTTTGAAGAAATGTTATCCAATGATGGAAGAGAAGAAGGGATTGGAAGAGAAAAAGAAAGAGAAGAAGAGAAAGAGGTAGATTGGACTCTACAGAATGATGATGAGAAAGAATCATCATCATCATCATTTTGATAGAAAAGAGAGAGAGAGAGAGAGAGAGCCAAAGTCTCTGGCCAGTGGCCATGATTTATATTTGGGATCTCAGTTTGTGTTCACATTACATTATTTTTCTGGGCCAAGTTTTTATTTTTATGGGTTGATCATATAGCCTTTTATTATCAATGATTTATGGGGGTGGGAGGAGGTTCGATAGCAGTGGGTGAGGGAAACAGGATGATGGCAGGATGAGAGAGTGAAAAGAAAGAGAAAAAGAAAGAAACTAATGAGCGGGACTTTTAAATTTTATTTGCTTTCTCTTCCATTATTATTATTACATCGTAAGCATAATGTCCTTCACATTCATCACATCAAATCTAATGATATTTAGTAGTAGATTCAGTTTACCTTTCAAATCTTATTTACTAACTTTCTCTCTCTCTCTTCATCCTCATCATTTTTTATCATCCTCATCATCATCATTCTCTTATCTTCTTCCTTCCTCCTCCTCCTCCCACTTTTCTCGACTTTAATTCTGTTCTAACTGTTTATGTGTCTGTCAAAATTTTTTTTCTTCTTTTTTATTTATTTAGTTTTTTTTTCTATTTCATTTTATTTTTTCTTCTTCTCCAACTTGATCCTCGACTCTGGAGATTAACTAATATTACTTTGAGATTAGATTAATAATATTATTAATCTATTATCATTATTTTAATGTCTTTACTCTCTCTCTCTCCCGATGAATTATTTCAGCTCATAAATTAACTTTATTTGTGATTCGAGGCAAAGGAAAAACTTTGGGTGTCGGTTAGTGACTCTAATTGTTGATCATTGATCAATTTACATGTTAGCTGATTGAGTTTCAATTTGAGATTCATCTTGATGAGGATGATAAAAAGGGAGAAAGGAGATGATGAAGGTTAGATGATAATAAGTGGCAATGATAAGATGAAGATGATAAAGTCAAAAATTGATCTTACAGGGTAGTTACAACATATTATACAAATATATTATATGGTTCATGTTGTTGTTGTTGTTGTTTCTTGCCTTAGTTCATCATCTTATCTTCATCTTCATCTCTTTCTGGAGTAAGTGTATCAATGACACTGACGAATGAGTTGAAATAATCATTTGGCTTTCATTTGATATGGAATTAGGTGGGTCCTGTGGGTGGTTGATGGGTGGGGATGAGGATGGAAAATAAAAGGACATCTTTCTTATTCTTCACCATTTTCATCATCATCATCATCAACCTCACTCACTCTTCATCTGTCACTCACAAAATGTCTTTCATTCTGATCGATAAAATAAGCCACCCTGTTTGCCTCCCACTTTTTAAGACAGAGAGTATTACGTTTGATAGACAGAGAAAACGAATGAGTGAGTGAGTGAGTGAAAGAGAGAAAATAATGTTGGGAAAGAAAGAATATAAAAAGAAAGATAAAAATAATCATTTAGAGACTGGTGTCATTTTCAGCTTCTCTTTTACTCTTTTCCTCTCATTTGTCTCTTTCTTTCCTCATCTTCATCATTCTCGTCATCATCTTTCAAACTCATCTCATCATCTTCATCATCATTCTTCTTCTTTATTACTTCATTTCATTCCCAGAAAATTCTTTTTCTCTCTCCCTATTCATCTCTCTCTCTCTCTCTCTCTCTCTCTCTCTCTCTCTCTCTCTTCTTTCGCTGTCTTGATCTGTCTTTCTGTCGATCAATTCTTCTTTCTTTTCTTTCTTTCTCTTCTTTGTCATTTTTGATTCACCCAAAAAGAAGAAAGAGAAAAAGAAAGAAGAATTAGAACCTGTCAATCTCTTCTTCTCATCATCTTTATCATCAACTTCCTTCTCTTCCGCCTCCTCATTTCTACCTAACATTTTCATCTAATAGATTGACAGCAAAAGCTCAAAGATTATTGATCAGAATAAACAATTTACATACAACCAGAACCGTAACCACCTAATGTCCAGTGAGTGTCCATTTTACCTTAAACCAGAAATCGTAAGATTTTTTTTTATTGGTAAGAAGAAGCAAAAAAAAATCAAATCAAATCAAATTTCTCGAAGAAAAGTCAAATCTAAATATTTATCATTGATATCAAGAGACGAGAAGTGAAACTAAATTAACTATCTCGAGATAAAACCAAATTAAATTAGATTATGTGTTGATCATTGATGATTTAGTTTTGATTATCTACAACAACGGAATAAATTTTAATTCAATTTATAATAAAATGATTTGTGATCAGAAATAAAAATTGTGGAGAGAAGAAAATTTTCCTTCTATTATGAATATTATTGAAGTTCATACATAAATAAATATCTTTCTCTTTGTGATATATTAAATTGTACAGGGGAAGGAAAAAGTAATAATAATAAATATGGATTCTCTGTGAATTCTGACAAGGAAAATGTTGGTTTGGGCAAAAGAAAGAAAGAAAGAAAGAGAGAGAGGATGATGATTTTACTTTGAATTTGTGATTGACAAAATGAAATCCAGGTTATATTATATATTTGATTCTGCGTAAATAATAATAATGTTGTAATAAAATAGCGAAAAGATGATAAAAGAGAGAGAGAGAAAAAAGAAAGAGAAGATGAAAAGACAATCCCCAAGGCATCATCATACACCTTCCACCCACCACCCACCCTCTTCCTCTTCCTTCTCCATCACCATCTTCATCTTTATCTTTTTCCTCTGTTTCCACATTTATCTTTCTTTATCTTTATGTTTACTGAGGAAATGTTTTTTTTTTCTGCGAAAAAAAAGTTTCTTCATGAACATTTTCATCTCCATGATGATGATCATCATCAAAATGATGAGTGAGTGAGACGATGTAATAGTTACCGAGTGAGTCAAAGACAATTTCCTGGTGAGCCATTCATTCAATCAATAGGATTGACCTGACAACCAAGAAACTGAGTGAGTGAGTGAAGGAGGAAAACTAGAAGGTATAAAATGATGAGAAAGATGAGAAGATGATGAGAATGCCCAAGAATGACATGTTACTCGATTCACATCAGTTCATGATAACAGGGAAGGCAGAAATAAAGATGATCCTGATGACCATCATCATCATCATCATCATGAACAACAACAGTGATGATGGAAGACAATCATCATCACCATCATGATAGAAAAAGTTTTCTTAAGCTTTTTCTTTTTCTCATCTTCATCTTTTCTATCAAGTAAATTTATTTGATCGACAATGACAATCAAAAAGCTCAGCATCCGTTGTTGTGATGATGATGATGATGATAGTCAATATTACTATCATGAAAAGCCACACAGATTCTTACTCTTTATCATCATAATCATCATCATCTTTCACAGTTTCCACAGTGAAAGTTGGATGGAAACCAATGAACGTTTTTACATGTTTATATATTATCTTTATTATCATCATCATTATCATCCTCATCTTCCTCATCATCATTATATATTATTATTATTTTTATTATTATAAATAAATATTATCTATCTAATATATATAAATATCTATTAAGAAGGTAACATCACAAGCATATCAAGAGGAGAGAGAGAGAGAGAGAGAAAAGTAAGAAAGATGATTATGATGATGATGATGATGATGATGGGATGAGGATGGAAGATGAAGATGATCTGAAGAAGAAGAAAAATTATATAAAAAAGACAAGAAAGAAAGAGAAGATAAATGACTATAATTCTCTCATCATCCTCATCATCTCTGTTTGCCTTATACTCCAATCTCATCAAGTGACGGTGATGATGAAAATTGATCATAATTGAGCGATTCGTATTCGTGAAGCCATCTTTCTCATCATCATCATCATTTACTTTTCTTCTTCTTCTGTCTATTTTGTCTTTCGCTTTTCTCATAAAAGATGAGGAGGAGGAAGATGATGATGGTGATGGTGATGATGCCATTGCTTTGATGGGTTGTGTGTGATGTGGTTCAATGTCTGTTGTTGATGATGATGAGATGATGAGGAAGAGTAAAAAAGATGAAGGAAACTGAGATGTGGTTAAATCCTGAGTCGCTGATAATCCTTATAATAATAATATATTTTTATTTACGACATTAAGGAGATCTCATAATTTACAGACGAAAATGAGTTCGAAACCTCGACATCTTAGAACCTTTTTTATTTCTCACAACCGGAAGAAAGAGTGAATAAAAGAAGATGAGAAGATGCTGACTGATGATGATGATGATGATGATGATTATCTTGATTATCATGATGATCATCAATAAGGGAAAATGTGAAACACTCATTTAGGGATTTATTACAATTCCTTGATATTTATGTTACAAGTTTGAAAATTTTTCTCTTTTTTCGTTTTCGAGGTAATCGAAAAATGTTCAGATCGATAAATTGTCACACAAGTCAATTGTTTATAAACTTAATCGTTTTTACAATTTCGTTGGTTAACTTGATTATTTACAAAGATAATCAACTTATTTGGATTGACTCTTATTATCTTTGAGATTATTCAAAGTACCGTTACAATTAGTGAAAGATAACTAATCTAATTTACTTTTGCATTTTGGAATATTTTAATTTCTATGTTGATTGATTCGGTTTACTGATTAACACTTGGAGTTAGTTGATTGTTTGACTGAACAAATTGTTGCTTTTTTTGTTGCTTAACCATTAATTTGATTGTTACTCAAACATTTAAACAATGAGAGTTAATTTTGATTGTAAATGAGTTGTGAATAAACATATATGATGATAGTTTGTTTTCTTCATCTTCGATCACCTTATCCGCCATTTTAAACGTCAATTAAATTGTAAACCACTTAATCATTTGGCTTTGGTGATTAAATCAAAATGACAATTATGATAACATGAGCTCCATCTATTGATAACAATTACCTACTCATTGATTACTTTTCCAATAATCAACTCAATTGATATAAAAACAAACTAAACAACCGAATCAAGAAAAGTTAATCAAGTCTAAACCACAAACAAAACCATAATTAAATCAACTTAAACCTTTTCCCATAATAATAAACCAAAAACAATTAACTCAACTTAGTTAAATGAATAAGATTAAATTTCGAGCAAAACAAAAAATAAACTAAACTAAAACGCTTCATTGATGTTCACCGTTCAACTGAATCAATTTAATACATTTACTTTTACCCAAACAATCAAGTCAATCACAAAATACTAACCATTAAATTGTTCCGATGTTAATTAGTTTCAACGTTAACATTAATTGAAAAAATTTTCTCTTCTCCAGTGAATTTGAAAAACGCGCTTTTCGATTCTCTGTCATGCTACTAGGAAAATCTACCAGAGAATTTATTTCTCATCTTCTTCGCTGGTTGGTGATTTATTCTTAGTCAATTTTTTTTTTCTAAAAAAAGACAATTAATTTAATTAATTTGCAATCAATTGACTTTTTCTTATTTTAATCTTTGTTTGGTGATTATAACCTGTTTCTTGTTAAAAGCTTTCCCTTTAATTGTAAACAAAAGGAAACCATTTTTTTTTGTCTTTTTTTAAACAACAAAAATATGAGTGTTAGTGTGAGTCAGGATCACCAACAACAGCAAGGATCACCAAAGGCTTCAGTTCAACAACAACAACAATCACTTTCCTCTGGAGCTTCTGGATCAATTCAACCAGGGGAATCTCTATCACCACCAACATCTTCATCAGCTAATTCATCTACATCATCAACATCATCTTCATCCTCTTCTTTAGGTGGATCGCCGCAAGTCTCTTTCTGCTCATCGCAGCTTCAATCATCTTCAAACCAACAACAACAACAACAACAACAACAGTTACAACAGCAACAGCATCAACATCAACAACATCAACAACACCAACACCACCACCAACAACAGCAGCAGCAACAACAACACCAATCTCATAATTATACAAGACAACAACATCAACAACAATCTTTGTCTGGGTCTGATCTCGCTGGAGGATCATCTTCTAGTCTATTCAAGTCTTATCCCAGTTTAGCCTGGAACGGGATGCAGTGGGATAAGTCATATAATACCGGTAATACCGTAGCTAATCAATGGTCATCACGTAGCAATCAATGGTCTCCTCGTTCTAGTCAAGGTCTTGGTAACTCTAACCCATGGAGTAGTATGAGTAATCCTTCTGGAGGACACTCGAAGAAACCAGTGCCGGATCGGTCTATGGCCGGGGCGATGGGCAACCCTCTAGATAACCTACGTTATCCTTTAGAGCAACAGCTTCTTGAGATAATGCGCAATGCTTCTGGTGACAAAGGTATGTGGAAGAAATTATATATATCTTTTCTCTCTCTCACTCTCACTCTATCTCTCACTTTCTCTTTCCCTTATTCATTTCATTCATCAACTCACTCGGTTATATTGAGTAACGTATTGGATCTTCGCGGACAGTTTCTTTTATTATGGTTTACCATGTATTCTTAGGGTTTCTCAGCATTTTCTCTTACGTTATCTTGGAACTCTCTCTCTCTCTCTCTCTCTCTCTCTCTCTCTCTCTCTCTCTCTCTGCTTTATTTTCCTACTCGTTTTCTTTCCTCTCCTTTTCTCTTTCTTCAGATTTTCCAAAATAAACAACCAGTGTGTAAACTCCTCGTTTTTTCCCATTTACATCCTCATCTTTTCTCATCCTCTTCTTCTTTTTCTTCCATAATCTTCATCTCTTGACAATCTTATCAATGTCAATGATTCAACTTAGAACCAAGCAAACCCATAAAATAACCTCTTGCGATTATTTTACTCATGATAGATTTTTTCTGCTCTCATCATCAATTTATCATCAGTTAAATTCTAGTAGATTTAGTTGATCGCAACACAACGATTTTAAATTCATTGATTTTTCTTTCCATCAAAATGATTAACTTGCAAACTAATCATTTGAAATTGTAAATGTACTTACACCTTTAATATACCGTAGAGTAATTATTATTATTATTGCCTTTTAGTAGTATTTATAATCAATATTCAAATCCTTTAGCTCTGAACAATCAATAATAATCTCTCAGATGATGATTAGTTGTAGCATCGATCGACAAAATAAATCAGATTCTATGATTACCATTAGCTCTTTGCTTTTTAACTTGATTTAAACAGTATCTTCATCAATATATAAACAATTACGAAACAATCATAATCAGTAAATCATTGTTGAGAAAATAAAAAGCAAGTGATTTATTTCTCAATTGCTTAGATTTTCAATACAGATCATTATTTAAATATAAAATTATCAATTAATTGTTATTTATGTTATAATGATAACAATATTCCTTAGCTAAAGAGTTAAAAGTCTATTGGTGAAGATGCTTTGAAAATACTCAATTGGTGATCTTTTCAGGTAAAAATAGACTCTACTAATATTAGGTCATCTGATGTTTTCACTGAACTTTCCTTGATTTAATTAGTAATTTGTTGATTTAAAATGTTAAAGTAATCAAATACTCTGCTGCTCATTTTTTTTTGCTTCTCGTCAGTTTGTTTTTGGCAACCTACTCGCTTAATTTTTGCCAATATTCAGGTTAAACCTGTGTTCATTATCATTGCTAGTCACTATTATAATAATCATCTTCATCATCGTCGTCTTTGTAGTCGCTTGATTGTTTTGTATTTACCATTTTCCGTTAATTAATGTTTCATTTACTTTTTTCTCTTTCATCATTTTAGCTACTCCTTTCTCTGGTTATGATGATTTCGTTGGTTCGAGGAAAGTTTTCAGAGCACGGAATCTTGGTCGACGACGAGGAAAATCACCTTTCTTCACTGGTCTTGATGCCGATAATCATTCACTACTTGATTCAGGTTCTGTTGGTGCAGAAGCAGGTGAACGATTCTCAAGGAAAGTGTTTGTTGGTGGTTTACCTCCAGATATTGATGAAGAAGAGATCACCGCTAGTTTCCGTCGATTTGGTCCTTTGGTCGTTGATTGGCCACATAAAGCAGAAAGTAAATCATACTTTCCACCGAAAGGTTATGCTTTCCTTTTATTTCAAGACGAGTCATCTGTTCAAGCTTTGATTGATGCTTGTATTAATGAGGATGATAAACTTTACCTTTGTGTATCAAGTCCCACCATTAAAGATAAACCGGTGCAAATACGACCTTGGAGATTGAGTGATGCCGATTTTGTGTTAGACGCATCAATGCCTTTGGATCCAAGGAAAACAGTCTTTGTTGGAGGTGTTCCACGTCCTTTGAAAGCCGTTGAACTTGCTATGATTATGGATCGACTCTATGGTGGTGTTTGTTACGCTGGAATTGATACTGATCCTGAATTGAAATATCCAAAAGGAGCAGGTCGGGTAGCTTTCTCGAACCAGCAGAGCTACATTGCTGCAATAAGCGCTCGTTTTGTTCAACTGCAACATGGTGACATTGAGAAAAGGGTTGAGGTTAAACCCTATGTTCTAGATGATCAGATATGTGATGAATGTCAAGGAGCTCGTTGTGGTGGTAAATTTGCCCCCTTCTTTTGCGCCAATGTAACTTGTCTACAATATTATTGTGAACACTGTTGGACAACTATTCATTCACGTCAAGGCCGAGAATTTCATAAACCGCTAGTCAAAGAAGGTGCAGATCGACCCCGTGCAATACCATTTCGATGGTGTTAAATTAACGCAAATTTAGGTTGACAAATTTAAATTGGATTTAAATTGAATGCATCATCACTATTATTATATTAATTGCTGCAAACATGAAGAAAAATTTAACTAAAAGATTAATGTGCATTTTGGGAAAACAAAAAGATGAAGTTAAAACCTTTCAAATGAAACCAAATCAAAAAAGAAAGAAGACAAAATAAGCGAATAATTAAACCACAATTAACCCCAAGATTTATTATAAATATACCAACGTGATGAGGTGGGAAAGATTATCCACCGGTGAGAATGAAAAAAAACCCCACGACCACCCACTGGAGAGCCCATAACTTTTAATTTGAACCAATTGAACAGCATAAAAATTGTTTTTAATTCACATCAACGTATTTATCGTTTTAATCAACAATTTACATCTTTAATATGACCTCCAACCCCACAACTACTGGCTACCAATTACTACGTCAACTACTCCCACTAATACATCTACACTATGCTATTATTTTGATTACTACATCTTGAACTATCTCACACCTTTACCTATTATTATAATCTTCATCTTCATCATCTTTAGCTGAAGATCCAACATCTCACCACAACTAAATAACGCTAAAGGAGCTTTTGACCTAGGATACAAAAAATACACGAAAAAGACAAAAAAAAGTTGTTAGTTTTTTTTTGTTTTCGATCCCTTCTAAAGTTTGTCCATTATGATGACACCGTTTGGTTTTTTTTTGATAACTACACAAAACCAACATCACAACCACGATAAAAAACTACCCTAAGCCAAAACCAAAACTTTTTTAAACATTTTATGCTCTTCTCACTTCCTCTTCTTGCCTTGTGATTCCTTTTACCACTAACACATAACCAACTCTCTCGCCCTTTGTCCTCAAGTTCAATCCTTTCTTTATATTCCTCCCTATTCATCTCATGATGATAATCACCTTTTCTCTCTCTCTCTCTCTCTCTCTCTCTCTCTCTCTCTCTCTCTATCATCATCATCCTTCCTTAATCTTTAAAAAGGTGAAAAAAGTTTTTATTTTTACCCAAAAAGACGCAAAAAGTTTTATCACCTTTAGTATGAAAGAACCTTTTTTTCTTGACTGATCTTTACTATGATATTTTCATCAATGATGATCCCTTTCTTTCTCGTCTTCTTCTTCCTCCTCCTCATCCTCATCCTTTTTATCTTTCACTCAACTTTTGCATTTTCTTCTCTTTCACTTTCACTTTCAATCTTTTACTCTTCCTCTCTCTCTCTCTCCTTCTCTCCCTATCTTCCTCTCTCTCTCTATTATTACTACAGGATCTCGTTCTTTTTTTTCTTATACAATTTTTACTGGATAATTTTATTTTAGAGAAAATGCTTTATTTATACTTTGTTGCTATGGAGACACACGCAATATTTGTTCTAATATATATTATTACTATTACTCTGAAAAAAATGTCAGTCGCTTTTAAACCTTTGAAAAAGATGCTCCATCTCTGAGCTTAACTAGTCTGATGAACTAATAACAGTAAAAAAATAACACTAACGATTCACACACACACACAAAACAAATCCAAACAATCAGTGATTTTAAGTTGATTAACAATTAGGCTAAGTAATTATTATTAACCAAAATTTAGCTAAAATGATTTAACACTGGTCTAAACTGCTAGTCAGCATTAATCTATTGATAAATGATTAAAAAAATTTAAAAACCAACAACAATCAATATTTAAATTGATTTAAACATTTTACCAATCACACACAATTTAACACCTTTGCTAGATCAATTATTAATTGTTAAACATAATTAATAATACAAACAAAAATTGGGCTAAATTATTATTATTAATTATCTTTATTATTATTACTATTAATTATTATTATTATTACTATTATTATCTTTATTAATTAACTTGTAATTGTTTTTTGAACAAAAAGAGCAAAAATTGAATTAACTATTTCTCTCGCTAATTAACTCTCTCTCTCTCCATCTTTCTCTCCCAATATTTTTAATTGTGTTTTTTTAATTGTAGTTTATATTTACAATTAGTACTCCAGCAATTTAACAAGCAATCGAGTCAAAAATCATTTTTTTCTGTCCTTTTATCTTATATATATATAAATATATAATTAATTATAATGATCTTTTTTTTTGAAATCTAATCGCATTGATATTTAATAATTAATCAACTAAAAAATAAGAAATTGAATCAAAAACAATTGAAAAAAAACCAAATCTGAAAATGAATGGAAAACAAAATCAACAATTTAATTGCTTTTATTATATAGAATACCTTTGAATTGTAATAATTAAAACTAATTTCTTGAGTGACAAAACAAATCCCAATTCCCTTTGTAAAATTGTAACATTTATATTATTATTATTAAGATAATTAACTAATCAATGTAATCTCTGTAATTGCTAAATTGTCAATGTGTCCACAATCAACAATTGTGAAATTGTAATTTGAAACCAAAGTCAAACTTTTGTAAGTTTCAGTTTTATTTAATTTGTTTCTTCCCTTGTGCTACAATTAAGACCTGATTGTAACAATTTATATTAATTGTAATCAACAAACACACACAACAAATGATAAGCATCATCAACAATCAACATGATCCTCCAAGTCAATGACAACAACAACAACTAATTACTGTTTTAAACTGGATTTAAATTAACAACATCCATTGGAAACCATTGGGAGCAATTAAACATTGAGCAAATGGAAGATAATTAAATTAACCTGAGAGAGAAAGAGAGAGGGAGCAAGAAAAGAGAGAGAGAGAGAAACAAATTTGATTAAGAAAAAAATATTTTTATGTTTCTGCTTTTTTTAAATCACTTTTTTTGATTGTCTCATAAATTGTTTCTTAATTGTAATCAACTTGTGTACTAATACAATATTTAGTGATAACCCTTTAATGATGAGGATGATCATTATAATATAATAATTATGAATTGATTAGTCTTAATCAATTGATTTTGTATTAATGTAATGGACGATAAGCAAATCAAACCAAAAAAAAAACAAATCAAACCGCAATCAGAATGAGCTGAGATTATATTTAACCAACAATTAACATCAAACAATTAACTTTGATTAACATCCATTGACAATTGAACATATTGATTGACAGAAACCAAAAAAAACATCAACATTTTGTTTACAATTTTTTGTAATAGTTAATTTATTTTGTATTAGTTTTTTTTTGCTTTTGATTATATAATTAAATTATTGATCAATTAATTAACTCAATCACCAATTTGTAAACACTCACAATTAACAAACAACTATTTGAAAAAAAAAACACAATCAAACCATTTGAAGAGGATTTCTTGTTAATCGTAATGATTTAATTTCATTCAGTGACTAACAAATTGAATGTAATTAACAAAATGATTAATTAATTAACCTAATCATTGGTTTTCATTTTTTTTTGATGAATCAATTGTAATTGTAAACACTTTTATTATTATTACTTATTAAATATTATTATTATCATTGAATTAGATTCTAATTGTCTGATTACAATTAAAATGATCACTTGATGATTGTGGATTATTTAAGATTTGAAGATTGATTAAGTTTGCATTTAAATTGTTAATTATCCTTGATTATTGATTGGATTATGTTTACTTTTGCTCTTGATGATTAACAATTTAATTGTCTTGTGACTAATTTAATTAACAAATCAGTTCTGTTAAATTTAATATAATATAATTAACTCCATCTATTGGTTAACTGGATTGATAATCATTCAATTTGTTTCCCTGATTGAAACTTCAAATCATTTTGATTGTAAAAACAATTAAGTCGCAATTAGTTGGGTTCAATTGTGTCTCCCAACAATCAACTAATTGTTGACAATTTATTTCTCTCTCCAAAATTACTTCACATTAATTGTATCAAACTCTAATAATGGTTTGCATTTTTCCAACCTTTTCGCTAATCAATAAATTGTTGTAAGTCAATCACTCTTCATCATAACCAACAATTAATTAGAATTAATTTTAATAACAAATTAATTTTTTCTTCTTCTTTTCCCCAATTTGAATAAACCGCTTTTTCTACGTTGTCATGGTTACGAGGAAAAAAATTCTCTCTCAACTTAACCTTTTCTCTTTCTTGTTTTCATCTGTCTTTCTAATTTTCATCTTCTTTTATCTTCTCTTTCTTTTCTTGGTGGTTTACTCTTTCTCTTTTGGTATTAAGAGAGTCTTTCTTTTTGTCATCCATGTCTTTTTTTTCTCATTTTATGCTCGTAAATTTCCTATGTGTTTTTTTCTCTGAGTGTGTTTCTCTCTTTTATGTGATTTAAATTAATTATTGTTCATCTTCCAAAATTCATCTTCATCTCCATTTAATGCTCCAGAACAATTCATTTACTTCAATTAAACTGTTCGGTGTAACCGGTGTAACCTTATAATCACATTTAAAAGGGAGAGAGAAAAATCCAGTTATATATTTGGTCAAATCAATTCAAATTAGAAGTTTTTATTGTTTGATATTATATCTCCCTCTTCTCTCTCTCTCTCTTCTCCTTTACTCATCATCACCATCTCTCTCTCTCCCTCTCATCACTCTTTCTACTTCTCTTACTATCTCTTTCTCCTTTTCTCTTTCTATTTTCACCTCACATTTTCCATTTCGCTCTTTTCACTTTTTTTCTCTTCTCTTTTTTCTCTCTGTCGCTTGTTGTTCCATCTTCAATCTATCGTTGCCTCTCTTTCCTTTCTCTTTCTTTTCTCTCTCTCTCTCTCTTTCACAAACAACCACACACACTTCACACATACACACACACTTTTTTTTTCCTGTTTCTGTTTCTCTTTCCTTCTCTCTTTCTCTTTCTCTCTCTTTCTGATCAACCACTTTCCCCCTTCACTGTTTGTGCATAGTTGTGATGAATTGTAACTGCAATTGTATTTTCAAATTGTACCAACCTTGTCCAAATGGTGTTTGTTTCTCTCTTCCAACAGATCAAAATATGAACGTAATACGAAAATACGGTGGTACCCCATGGAGACGTAATGATAGACTTTATTCACCTGGGGTAATTGGTTTACATGAAGAAATTCTCGATTTTTATGAATATATGTCACCAACCATGGAAGAACATTGTATGAGATGTCAAGTGGTTGAATCAATTAAAAAAGTAATCAAAAAATTATGGCCGGCGGCTAAAGTAGATGTATTTGGTTCGTTTAAAACTGGTCTCTATTTACCTACAAGTGATATCGATTTAGTGGTTATCGGTGATTGGCCGACATTACCCTTACATACCTTAGAAAAAGCTCTTCTCGATGCGGGTCTCGTGGAATCTGATTCAATTAAGGTGTTGGACAAAGCATCAGTGCCAATTATCAAACTCGTTGATAAAAATTCTCAAATCCAAGTAGACATCAGCTTTAATACTCTCAATGGGATCGAAAGTGCCAAGTTAATTAAGGTATTAAAATGATTCAATTTTCAACATAATCATGAAAAAGAAATGAAAATCTTAGAAAAAAGAAGAGAAAAGAAGAGAAATACTCTAATTTCTGGTTCTTTCCATCTATTCAACTTGTAATTGTGAATATCATTGTGAAGATCAAAGTGTGCTCTTCTCGAGGAGAGAGAAAAAAATGTTGCAATCAACAATTTTTTGCTTAATACTGTTAAAGATTTTTTTTATTATGAGTGAAGCATAATTGGTTGATCCAATGATTATTCTATCATCATACCTGTCCATGAATCTATTTCTCTTTTTTTTCTATTTTTTTCTCAAATATTCTAACAGTAAATTAACTAATGTATTCTATTTTTTTTCCATTTCTCCTTCTCTCTTGTTTTTATTTGGATACAAAGAAATTCAAGATAGATTTTCCACATTTGGCCAAACTATTTTTGGTCGTGAAACAATTTCTAGTGCAACGAGACCTGAATGAAGTGTTCAAAGGTGGTATCTCATCTTATTCCCTGATCTTAATGGTTGTCAGCTTTTTGCAGCTTCATCCTCGCCAAGATGCTGTCTCACCGACATCCAATTTGGGTGTACTTTTATTGGAATTTTTCGAATTTTATGGTCTTCTATTTAATTATAAAGCAGTTGGTATAAGAATTAAAGACGGTGGGTCATATATTCCAAAATCAGAGATCCAACAACAAATGATGGAAACAGGATGTCGACCCTCTTTCCTCTGCATTGAAGATCCTCTTGATCCAACAAATGACATTGGTCGAAGCTCATATGGTGCGGTTCATGTCCAAGAAGCCTTTGAATACGCCTACCTCAGTCTAAACAAAGCATGTGGTCCAACCAGCTCAATTGTAGATCAATCAAAAAGTTTATTAGGTCGGATAATAAGAGTCTCAGATGAAGTGGTTGATATGAGGCTAAGAGTCAAAGAAAAATTTCCATCGCCTCCTCCTCCTCTTTCACTTCATCATCACAATTTAAATCACAACCACCACCATAACCACCATCACCTTCCTCACATAAAAAAACCTTTAGTTAAAAATTATGGACCTTTTTGTGAAAATTTCAACGATAGTGCGATCTCATTAGCTGAATCATTTGACGAAGATGGTATCACCAGTTCGTCAGCTTCTTCAATCGCATCTAGCGAAAATGTGAGTTTTCCCTAAAACTAACCTCTCATTTTCACCTTGTTTTCCCATTTCTCTTTACATTCTCTCACTTTTCATATAAAAAGATACAAACTCTCTCTCTCTCTTCTTCTTTCTCTTTCTCTCTCTCCCTCTCTTCTTTTCTCTTCTCTCCATTCTGATCAATCGATTCATGATGTTTTCTTTTTTTTCCTAAACTATTAGTTGTAAAGAAACACTGAGTTCTCACTCATGTGTGTGTATACATATGTACTTACAACTCATGCATAATCATCATCATCATCACCTTCATCATTATCATCATCATTTTGAAGAGAATAGAAAGTGAAAAAGAGAAAGGAAGAAAAAAATAGAAAGATAGAAGAAGAGAGTAAATTATAAATTAAGTTTTCTCAGTTCATCAATTTCTCGGAGAGACATCGAATATAATAATGCTAATACACACACACAAACTAACACATATACATATAAACATTAACTTAAAAAAATTTTGAAACAATTTATTGATATTAACTAACTGAAAATGATGTGACTCTTTCGATCTGAAGTTTATCATCATGAAGAATAAGGAGAAATGGTTAAGGTGGCCAAATGAAAGGATCCCTAACTCATACGAATCTACAACCACTACATCACCACACCTAAAATAAGATAGATCCTCTTCTCTTCCTCACTCATAATGAATCCCTCAATCAATTCATATGCTTTACAAAACCAACTTGCTTGCTCTTTTTTTCATTTTTTTTTCATTGCTTTCTTCCTTTTTCCCTTACTTTTTCTCTATCTTTTTCTTTCTTTTTCTTCTTCACTGTCTTTTTGTTCTCTCTCTCTTCTCCATTTTTCTTCTGTCTATTTTTCTCTCATTCTCTCTCTCTCTTCCTATTACCTAATCAGTTTATAAACAATTCTTTAAAAATAAAGTCGATAAAAGCTTACAACTCGAGTCATCAGGGTCACCGTGAAGTGTCATCGCATGTAAACGCCATTCCACCAAAGTCCAACTACTCTGGAAATCCCTGCAATCAAAACTGGAGGCATCCCGTTAGTTTTCCTTACCAACAACCAAAATACCGTTCGAATTCTGGAAAAAGGAAGAAGATGCATCCATCAACAGCTACATTAATATCACCAACACCAAGTTGTGCAAGAGAAACGTAGCATTTCAACAAACAAACAAACACACACACACACACACAACCACCATCAACAGCGGCAACTGCAGCTCAAACAAGAAAAAGATATCAGTAGTTTGAAATGATGATTATAACGCCAAAAAGTCAAGTATCTACACTGCAACCAGAAAAAAAAACACAAAAAAAAATAAAAAAGCAAAGTGATCAAGTTCGAGATGTGCAAACAACAACAAAAAATATTGCAGAGAATCTCTTGTATACAAAATTTATTCTCTCTCTTTCTATCTATCTTTCTTCCGTCTCTATTTATCTCCTATTTTCTTCTTCTTTTCCCTTTTTGTCGATCTAAATGTTCACACTCACACTCTATTTCTCTTCTCTCAATCTACTCTATCTTTTTCCTACTATCCTGATATTTTTTCTTATACATTTAAAGGGAAAAGTACAAAAAAAAATCAACAGAAAAACACAAAAAAAAAGATACAAGAAGAAAAAGGGGAAATTGTTCCAAGTCAAAGTTAAATCAAGAAAAATTAACAATAAAAGGCTTATGCCAATCATTTTTGTCACAGTAACTGTAACAATCATAATGCCACAATAATGCAACACCTACAACTCTGAAAACAATTAGCGCTAATCGCTGATAATTGTGATCATTTTGTTGTTCTCTCTTTGTTGTAACCAACTTATGATTGTCCAAGTAACAGTTAATATTTTTTTCCAATTGTAATTGTTATGTATTCACTTAATTTCTAAATCATATGTTTGTCTTTTCTCTCTCTCTCTCTCTTTCTCTCTTTCTCTCTCTCTTACCGAACTAAACAACACTCACATTATTTACATTGAATCAAAATGAATTGAAACAATTAACTTGGAGAGATGATCAATTAATTACCTGTAGAGAGATGATGCTAATCACCTGGTGATTTACAATAATAATAATAACAATTAATGATTGATTAGTAAAAGACAAAAGAGACAAAAATAAATTTTTCTTCAAATCATTGCCGATTTTTACTTCATCTTCGTTTTTTAATTGTCACGATCAATTTTAATTGTAGCAGAATCTTTTTCATTACATTCAATTTAACTCAGAGATTTTGTTTTGCCTTTTTTTTCATCAATTTGTCAGCAATTAAAATTTTCTTTCATATTTTCAATCATCTCCATTAATTTTTGTCAGTTAATCAAATGGTTTGAAAATAACCAAGTCCAATCAGCCGTGATGATAAATTAGTTGATTAAGAGATCAAATTTAATTACAATTCGAAGATACTAATCGTGTTAATCATTTCCCACACTTTTTACTTCATCAATCAAATTTCCTCATCATTTCCGTATCCGGGCTTTCTTCAAGTCTTTCGTTAAAAATGAATCGCTACAAGACAAAATCGATATTGTCTTTTATCATCTTAATCGATGAAAGATTTTAATTACCGACTAACAATTAAATTTGATTGTTCCAATTGTATCGATCATTTTCACTTCAATTGTTTTAATGATAAAAATGTTGAATCGATAAAAGATGAAAAACTTTCAATTCTCAGCATTTTGTTTGGCCTTATTGTCAAATTTCAAAAGTTAAATTAATTAAAAAGTTTTCGAAACAGTTAAATCAATTACAAAGGATCATAATTAAATTGAAATGAGTTGTTGATACAATAGAAAAAAAAAGATTTAAGAGAAAAGAAACTGAGATGATTGAAAAGGTAAGACATTGACATTGGTTTTCTGTTCGTAACATTTTCTTTGCGTTTTTCGCAAATGTAAATACAAAGAAAAGAGATGAACAGTTATTTTCGGTTATCATTTCCTCTGGTATCAGTTGTGTCTTCAATTACATTGAGTTTTGTTTGTTGAGGGTGAAAAAAAAGTTCTCTTGCAAGAGACAAGAAAAGAAACATAATAGTGACTGTGATTATATTATTACATCGTCTTTAAATGCTTCTTTGAAGCTTTTTTCTTGTTGTAAAAAAAGATCACACCTAAACACAATTGCGCCATTGCTCTTGGAGAAAGATGGAGAGACAGAGAGAGAGAGAGAGAGAGAGAGAGAGAGAGAGTTTTGATTGATTTAAAAGTGTGATCATTTGATTTTTTCAAAGGGAAAATTAAAAAACATCAACAATCACAATCATTATCAATTTCATCATCTTATTGTCTGGGCAAGAAAAACAAGTTGAAAGTATTTAGGAAGTCTAAAAATGGATTCAGAAAATGGTGAATTTGTTGAGTAGGTCACAATGTTGGCAAGAGAAAATGATAACAAATAAAAGAAGGTAATCTTCGTGGTTCCTCCAAGTGAAATCATGTAACGGCTCCTTTTTGTTGCCCGTTACTATTATTATGGTATCAACGTAATCGGTATTTGGACTGTAGATCAATTTTTGTTTGTTTGTTGCTTTAACTTCACGTGGCGCATCTTTGGATAAACTGTAGATGTGATTTGATTGATGGTTGACAAAGAGGTGGAAATCCTTAGTGTGTAAATAACAGGAACCCACAGACGATGAAGGTGGTTAAAAGCACATTATCGATTGCAATCGTTACTATTAATCCATTGATCGTTTTTTTTTTGCTTTAATCAACGTTTATACGGAAAGTCCAAAGTGTTGTTGGTATTTTGCTCTGGTGGTTGTTTGTTGTTATTTTTTAACACTGAGAAGATGAAAACAACCAAAAGAAAAAAAGTGTACTCGGAGTGAGAGAGGAAAAAGATGATGATGACAGAGGAAAAGATGAAGATGATCAAAGCTAACTTGACAAAGTTCTCTTTTGAGAAGACAAGAAAAAAAAACAGTGAAAGGTGAGGATGAGAATCAAAGTGTTTAGAGATGACAAGAGAAAGGAAGAAAAAGTGAAGGAGAGACAGAGAGAAAGATGAAGATGATGAAGATGAAGGTGAGGGATGAGAGAAAAAGGAAAAAGAAAACCAAATGTTTACAAATGTATTAAAATAATTTTGTTTTCTTCATTCCGAATCACGGTTTAGCTTTTTAAGAAAACATCTTACAAATCCAATTGCAATACTATTATTTGTAAATGGATTTTGTTTGTTTCTTGGACAGTTTTCACATTCTTCATCCCTTGATACAAAATTTTTCTCTAGGAATTGAAAAGAAGATGGAAAAGGACAAGAAGATGATAGAAATAAAGGAAGATGGAGAAGAAGAAGAGAAGAGAGAGAGAGAGAGAGAGAGAGAGAGAGAGAGAGAAGATGAGAGATGCAAAAGATGAGTTGAAGTCTAATTAAAAAAAGATTGGCCTTTTTATGGCAACATTCAAATTAATTGCCCTCGTTCTTACAATTTGATTGATTGTAATTTAACTTTCGTATTCTTATAACTTGACACTATTGTACTGGCCTTGTGATTAAGTTTTCTTCAAATTGACAATTGTTTGAATTACTATTTTTGTTTCTTTTCCTCCAACGACATGGTTGTTATTTACCGTTAATCGTTTGTTGTTATCGATCAACTTTTGATTAAACTTGAATTAATTGCTTATGATGATGGAAATACATCTCGTATAACCTAATGGGAAAAATGTGAGAAATAAACAAGAATTTAATCAAAATAGAATTTGAAATAACATCAGCTGATCAGAATGAAATGAAAAAGAAATTGGATCAAAAGTGAAGGAATATCTGTCAACAGTAGAGGTCAAGGTAACAGTTAAATATTGATCTACTTTCAAGGAAACAAATTATAGTTAAAATAAATTAACACATCTTATTGTTGGTGTTAAACTAAACCAAAACTGAGAAAATAAACTAAATTAAGCATATCGATGTTTTTCTCATGGCACAATCAACAACTCATGGAACCTGAAAGATTTGAATCGACAGGATTATCAAGCAACAGTAAATAAAGTTTACCTGTTGATGAAGGAATAATTAAAATTAGCAAACAATTGTTAAATCGAGAAACGATTGATGATGAACAGATGATTCTGCGTGAGCCAGCACAACAGATAATCGTCATGACAGAGATGATAACATAGAGAAAAAAGATAAGACCATGAGGAAAATGAATGCGGGATGAATATCATTTTATCTATTACAAATTTCAGCTAATCTTTGACCTCATCAAAGGTCATTTGAAATAAGAAAAAAGCGAAAGGGTTTTACAAAGAAGTAGAGAAAGATAAAGAAATCGTTGCACTTTTTCTTTTATCGGAATCTGGGTGAAAATCTTTTTCTTTTTCGATCTCTCGATTTTCATATTCTATTTGACTTGAATGAGGTCAACTATATTAAAAAAGAAACAAGTTGAGCCTCGAGAATTTTCAGAGCTGTAAAGTGACATCGGGAGAGAAAGAGCAAGGCAGTTTTTTTAATCATGTAGAGACGGCTAATATGATGCGAATTCGAGAGATGTAAAAACGAAAAAAAATCAACAAGAGAGAGAAAGAGAAAAAGAGAGTACATTTTGTAGATGAAAAATGGATGAGGAAAGAAACTAGAAGAAAGAGAAAGTATGAATGAGAGTCAATGCTGTTGTGTTGAGAATAGAAGAGAGAATGATGAAAACTCCGAGTGGCGAGATTTGAAGAAGAGAAGCAAAATGATGAAGATGTAAAAATTGAGTGAAAAGGTAGAGAAAAAGATGTGAAAAGGAGAAAAGCATCTTTTCTTAAGAATGGTTCATGAGACCTCAGGTTTTGAAGGAAAGCAAAAATATGAGAGTCGAAGAGTAAACATGAAAAAAAGTGAGGAAAAAACGAAAAAAAGTGAGAGAAGTAAAAGAGAAAGAGAGAGAGAGAGAGAGATGAAATCAAAGGGTCTGAAAGAAGAGTTTGTAATGGTGTGAGAGAGAGAGAGAGTCAAGGTGATGAAGGGAAAACATAGAGGAAGAAAAGGAAAAAAAGGAGTTGATGAAGAGTGTGAATGATGAATCTGATCCAATCTTTTTGTAGCACAGTGAAGATGAAAAACCAAAGTGCACGTAATGTCTTCATTTAAAATTCAGATAATTTCCAATTCAATTTCAACCTAGAAGAAAAGTATCCTCATTTAGGTTGACAAACTTGATAATGATGAGCAGCATTATTTTGACCTAACTCATCGGTGGGAGCAACGGAAGAGGTACCGCTTCGTGGATTATTGGCACCACCAGACTAGAGTAAAAAAAACCAAGAAAAAGAGAAATTTAGTATGATCATCAAAATGGTTAAGGTCAATAGTAATTAACTGTAAACAGAATATTAAAATAAATTGTGTACCTCAGCAAGAGCAACTGGTTGTATCACTGGTCCAGGTTGAGTTGCATATAAAGCTCCAGAAGCAGCCGCGATTGCATAAGCAGCTGGTGTTCCTGTCATATACTGGGAGAGATATGAAAGTTAAAGTTAATAATGCGATTGATATCCGATGCGAATTAATTAGTAGCGATTTATGAATCATAGATTCACGAAAAAAACAGTCTCAATGTCTCAACCACTTTACTTTGTCATCTCTAAACGGTGCAGAGTTGTACACATAGTTAAGGCTAAGGTAATTGAGAAAACAAAAGGAAGTTCATACATGAAATAGGATCAGGACTATGTGTTACCACAGCTCTGTTGACAACTGATACTAGATTGTGTGTATATGTGAGTGAGTGAGTGTGTGGGAGTAGAAATGAGTGTATTGGAAGGAAAGAAGAGTGAAGTGGATGAGATGGAAAAGGAAGGGGAACAACTTATTGAGGTTAAAAAGAAAAGGTAAAATAAAAAAATAGGTAGACGTAATTCAATCTACAAAAAAAAGCCTAATGGGATTAACAGGTAATGAAAAAAAGAGTAAAAAGAGGAGACTAAAACTATAACATGAAACTATATCTGTTTTAAGGGCGAAGCGAGGGAGAGGAAATAAAATTTTGTAGATAAGTATTCAGGTTCCATGGCTCCATTGTGGTGATTGATTTGGTTTGTTAGGTGAGACAATAAAAGACGATTGTTCAGAGAGATGACCATAGTGTTGAGGAGACTGTTGAGCATTCCGAATTACACTCACAGGGTGACTGGAAAGCTGAAGTTGACGCATGGAAGCCGATAACTGTGGCATCAGAGTACTGAAATGCAAAGCGTTTGTATCGATTTGCTGTGATGGGATCACTTGCGTTGTTGATTGCATGTGAGCAGGGGGTGGAACCAGATGATATTGTGTGGCTCCTGGGTGCATCCATTGAGTCGCAGCGGCAGCTTGAATTGCAGCAGCAGCGGCGGCTAAAATGTTATAAGAGCAAAGGTAAAAATAAAGAATTAGATTATTGCTATGAGACAAACTATCATAAACAACATGGTAAATAATTTACCTGTATTTGGAACAAAAGCGCATCTATCATATTGTCTTTGATGGTGATGGTGATGATAACCAGCAGCTGCAGCAGCAGCCATGTTTGGCATCATAGGTGCGGTGGCTACTCCATTTTGGTTTATATTAGATTGATCAGTGGGATAAGCGTAAGCCTGTGCCATGGGTTGATTAGCTCCACCACCTTCTCTATTACGGATTTCATTCTTATTTTGACTCTTTTTCTTGTTTCCACCATCAGCAAACTTAACCAATAATGGTTCCTTTCCACCAGCTAAAATTTTACCGTTAAAGCCTTGAATTATCATGTCACATTTTTCCTTAGACTCCATTCTGGCAAAACCAACACCACGGGGTTGGTTATAATTGTCTCGAAGGATTCGTGTTGAAATTACTGAACCAAAGGGACTGAGCATTGACTCTAATTCGTTCTCAGTCATGTAAGAAGGTAAATTGGCAATATAAAGATTGGTTGGGTCTTGTTCTTGTTGCTATATAAATATTAATGAGAAAAAAATAAATCAGCCAATGAGTTAGCAATAGGTTAGTTTAAGAAATTTAAAAGATTCAATCTAAAGATCGATGCAAATCAAAAATAAATAAATCTATTCAAGTTAATAGGTAAAAGTAAAAAAAAAAGGATGAAATAATTCCTATTTAAATCAAACAAATGAAAATAAAAATTATTTCAAAATTAAAAAAATAAGTAACTAAACAGTATTGGAAGTGATATTGATAAATACGTTTCGATACTGAGACATGCTAGAAAAGTAACAATAATTTGATAACTAATAAAATTATATGTTAAAAACAAAAGCAAAAGTAACTAAAAGATAATTAAAGAAAAGAAAGTGGCAAACATTTAAATGTAATTAAAAAACTAAGATAAGAAAAACAACAATTGCCTGAAACCTGCTCACCGGTGATCTGTTGGGATTGATGACTGAAGAACAGTAATTAGAGGCAACAGCATTGGAATTACTCGTAACAGCCGCATAATTATTAGCAATCGAGTTTGAAGCAATGACTGAAGTACTTTTGCCTCTACTTGTATCGGTGCACTAAAAAGATGAATCAACAAATCAGAGAAGTTTGAATGCAAATCATTAAGAATTAACTTGACTACCGGAAGGTCAGAGAAGGATGAAGAAAATGATAAGAGAAGAAAAGAGAAAACAAGAGAGAGAGAGAGAGAGAGAGAGAGAGAGAGATAGGTTGGAAAGAGAAAAGTGGAAAAAGATAGAGAGAGAGAGAGAGTAGCTATAAGAGAAAGACAGAGAGAGACATAGAGGAAGAGAAAGAAAGAGAATCGGGTAGGATAACCAGCTAATGTCAAAGTAAAAGTGAGTAAAAAAATTAGAAAGGGTGAGAAAGGAAAACATGAAAGACTAATGCAAACAGAAAATAAATCTACTACCAGAAAGTGTTATAAAAATGTGATAACTTTTTTGCGAAAAAAGGTAGATTTTATCAACATTTATAAGACAAAAGGGTAGATTAAGATTTAGGGCTATGTGAGGGAAACATAAAAATGTCTCTGTCTATATATTCTGTCTATTTTATTCTAGGTGTCTGTCTATTCTGTCTGTGTCTTTCTATCTGTCTATCAAAATTGTAAATGATAAATAATGTATATATATACAGATAAATATATATATTTTTTATATCATTGACTCCGTGAAAGAAAACCAACCTTGGCCATTTGAGCCTGAATACCCCGAGTTTGTAAATGTTTGACCGCTGTCTCTGCAGATACTGGTGACTCAAAATCAACGAATCCATAGCCTTTACATTTATTGGTGTTCTTGTCTAGTATAGCTTTCGTTGATATGATCTTTCCATAGGGAGAACATAGTCCATATAAATCCTTATCAGTTGTATTGGGCGTCAATCCTTTAATGTAGAGATTGGTTCGAGACAATTGATCCACAAAATTGGCATTTACCGAGGTATCAACCGTACTATTTGGTGCAATGGTTCCAATACCATTAACAACACCTACACCTGAGGTTGATGAAGAAGATGCACTTGACCCAAGGCCTGAAGTTGATCCTTGGGAAGATGAAGAACCACTAGTACCTGATGATGAGACTGGGAGTGAAGAAGCAGTTATACGAGAACACATTTTGGTATCTTAATTTTTCTCTATTTACTTATTTCACGTTTGATATAATAATATTTTTCTACTACCAAAACTACAACCACTACTTTTTTTTCAGATTTAACAAAAAAAAAGGGAAAGAAGAACAAGAAAAGAACAAAAAAAAAAATAAAAGAGACAAGAGAACAAGAACAAGAAGAAAAATATGAAGTAAACTGGAAAACCCTCTTCTTGGTATTAGATATAACTTGATTTTAAATCAACTATAAATAATTAAATTAAAAAAATCACTTCCGATTGTCAGTATAAAGTAATCAAAACAATTAAATCATCTTTAATCACAAGAGAAAAAAAAAACAGTTCTTTGTGTCAACCAACAAATGGAGGATGTTCTTGTCTGCGCATGCGCAGTTCGAAAAAACAGACTGACATTTCTCTTTCTTTAGTTCTCTTTGTTTGTTAGAACGAAATGGCTTCAAAATGGTAAGCGCGTTATTCAACCAAGCAATTAACTTGTTTCTTTTTCCATTTTATTAACTATTTTCTTCAATTAAACTAAATTTTTTCTTTATTCGCAATCAGTGAACAATAATTTCGTTTATCTAGGTGATAAAAGTGAATATGTTTTGGATTAGATGAGAATGGAAATTAATTTGGTTGTTGTTGTTTTGGTTCATTCTTTTGTTGACCTTTTTTCTTGATTTCTATATATTGAATTTGGATGGTCTTTGGTGTTTAATTGTTGTTGTTGTTGTTGTGGGTTTTTGTGTTGATTGTTACAATTGTTGATGGTGACAAGTATTAAATTCAATGGTTTCCATTGGATTAAAGTGAATGTTTGGTTGTCCATTGTGGTTTTCATCTCTCTGGTGAATCATTTTTTCATATTTTCGGATTTTATGTAAAATTATAAAGATAATCATTATGGTGAATATCATGGTGGATAAAATGAATGCTGGACCAATCATATTGGAGGTATTTTCATCGTGTTGGTAGGATGAGGAATCAAATGAACATCCATATTGATTGTCACACTTTTCTATTGGACAGTAACATAGATTAATACACTGATGACCATAGAATCCGATTTCACATGGAGATTGGCAATTGATTCCAGTAAAACCCATGAGACAATCGCACCTTCCGGTTGTTACATTGCAGCTTCCAAATTTACAGAAACATTCACCTAAACTTTGGATCATTGAATTGTTCAGTTCATTTTCTGGTTCCATGGCGATGGGAAAGATTCAACTGATGTTCACAATAACCAAACAAGAAATGGAGCTTCAAAGTGTCGGACTTTGGCTCTTCTTCAAATGGACATCGACTAATGGACTGAACTGGACTTGACTTATTTCTTTGTCTCCAGTTCATAAGATTAGTGTTCTTAAAGCTCAATCCACTGGTTAATTCTCAATAATTTTAAGCTGATTTAAGGATCAAAAGTATTCATGTTTTGGTTAATTGTCAGTTGTTTATAAGATGGTGCCAATCGTCAGTTAATCAACACTTAATTACATTTGCAACAATTAAATGGCACATTTCTTTGAAATTAGATGATTACAATTAAATCAGTGGTTAAATTGCAACACCTAAAACTTTTAATTTTGTTGGTTGTAAATTTTAATCATGAATTGATGATTTATTGGTATTAACAATCAATGACTCGAGAAAAATCAACTAATCATCAAAAGATAGACTTTAATTGCTCAACCTAATCAAGTTTATAAAAATATTCATTCACAAACTCATCTGATTCAGTTTCCTTGATTGTTACTATTGGAAAAAGATTCAAACCTCATTTGTCTGGAAGATTAATCAACAACAATTAACTAATACTCAAACTGACCCATCAGTAAGATGTCGAGCGGATTTAATCATGATGATTAGCTAACAATTAACTGATTTAAAGAGCTCACCAACAACTAATTCATATTTAATAAATAATTAAAAATTTACTTTATTCAAATGAATCAGTAGATTATCATCTGCCCAATTAATTATTGATCAATATTGTTTGATAAAAAATCAATCAGTTGATGAAAAATCTTAATTACAACAATTAAAAGTCGATAAGTTTGTGTAAACAGTTAATGAGAAGATTATTTTTTTATTTATTCCAAATAATTTTCTAGATTAACAATCAATCTAATTAATTTTTGAGAGATGATAACAATCAACCATAAAAATTAAATTGTCACTCTCAACTTTTAAAGTTAATCATTGTAGGTTAATTGGTTAAGCACTTACAACTTTTATTAGACTTTAATTTGATTTAAATTGTTGTGGTTATACTAATAGTTTGGACTCTATTGTGATAATTACTTTTGATCATCATTAACTAAATCAATTTAACATCTGAGGATGAATGAGAAATTAAGTGAAATTATCAAAGAAATATTGGTAAATCATTCATGTTAATTATTAGCGAAACAATTAAGGTGAAAACAATTGAAAAAAAGTTAATTAATCTCATTAAAGTATCAAAGGTCAACTTCGCCACAGGTTTGTGACAATTAGACGGTAAAGTCACTCGAAAAGGTCAAAAAAAAGTTCGAAAGGTTCAAATGAAATGTTCGAGGTGATTGACTTACCATCATTTGCATCCATTTAGCTAAATTAATTAATTAATTAAATCGTTATTAGATTGATACAAAAAGATATCTTGATTGTTATCAAATTTACGATCGGTTAATTTGATTGTCCAAGAAAAAGTTATTTAATCATTTCCACTCTGATTTGACTCTTTTCTGACAAAAACTTTTCAAATTGAGTTGATTTAGTTTCGTGGTCACTAGTTAATTGTTAATCATCATTGAGTAACATTTCACAATCAAAGGTGATTAACAATGTAACCTGGTGGCCTAAATAAAATGATTAACCTTTAAACTGACCGATTGTAATTTTTGAGTGACTCTCATTAACATGTTGATTGTGATTATCATCATCATAATCATTATAGTGAAATTAATTTAATGTCTTGACGATTGTTTTTCTTAATTGTTGTTAGTTAATTTTTTTGATTTATTTCTTTACCAGTTTTTTAATACCTTGTATTGTTGTGATTTTATAAAGTACAGTAAACATTTAAAAGGAAAGTGAACAATTAATAATTTAAATTGTGAAAAAAAAAGTGAATCAGTTCACCTAAATTATATTTATATATATTAGTTGATTGTTTACTTAAATTGTTGATCTCAATTAAACCTTTTGTTCTGATTTTTTTTTTCTCGTAATCAATTGTATCAATATCAAAACGATTGTCAGGTTGATTAAAAAGATACAATTAATTTAAAGTAAATTTGTTATTGATTTAACAATTGTGGTAGTTTTTGTTGATTTGTTGATGATGGTGATGATGATTGTAAGGAAGGGAATAATTAATTAATTGTAAAAATCGTTCTGAAGAATCAGCTATTTAAATAATTAAATTATTTGTTCCTTTGAATGAATTAATTTGAATCATTGCACAGTTTTGTATATAAATGGTTATGGCAATTAAATTAAATTAGACTTTCTGATTCAGAAAGTTGTTGTTTCTGTTTCAACGGATTAAATCATCATAATCTCTTGGGTAAAATATGAGGATTAAATGGCTAGCATATGATTAACAGATAATCAGTTGGAACCATTTGATGATGGTTAAGATGATGATGAGAAAATTTCCATTTTGTTTTCAAGTTAATTTGTATCTTTTCCTTGGGAAAGAATGACGAAAATCAGGAGAAAGAATCAGGTTTATGTCAAGATTGGACAAAAACATGGGACATGATGAATTGAAAAGATAAGTTATCATCATTTAAGATGCAGGAGTCCAGAAAATTTAAGAGAGAGAGAGAGAGAGAGATTTGTGTCCAATAGATGACCAAGAAGAGAAGAAAAAATTAAGATGAATTATAGTGAAGAGTAAAACTGGAATCAATAATGACAGGTTTCTATTTGGATAATATTGATTGTGGTTGATGTTAATTGTTAGACATTTTTTTTTTCATCAACGTAATTTGATGTTCATTGAGAGAGCCTTCTTATGGGGTGGACTTCCCCAGACCTTTGGAAAAGTTTCCAATTCTCTTTTTAAAGATTCTTTAAATGGTAAAGTTCTGGCTGAATGGATGATTGTTTTAAGAGCATTAATTGTTTCCCTTGGTCCATCTATATGGTCAGATAACCATTCAGTTGTATAGTCAAGGTTTGATTTGTCTGTTGTCTCTTCAATCACATGGGTACACAATCCGATACTCAATGATTCCAGGGCAGTTAATTGTCTTCCCGAAGAGATAATCTCAAGAGCTTTATGTGAACCAATGATTTGTACCAAACGAGTACCACCACCCCAACTAACGGTGATTCCCAATTTAATGTGAACAAAGCCAATCTTGGCTGATTTAGACATTAATCTAAAATCACAGGCAGTTGTAAGTTCAGCTCCACCGCCGATTGCTTTACCCTCTACAAGAGCCACACTGATCATGGGTAATGCTTGAAATCTTTGTAAAGTGTCGTACATTAAGATTCCCATGTCCCGTCCATCGTCACAATTGTCAATCTCTTTAACGGTATTCATGTCACCACCCGAGCTGAAAAATCCATCGGCTCCATAAAGGATGATTCCTTTTCCCTGAAAGATAAAATCAAAAAGACACAATTAGATTTACATAAACATTGAGAATTAAAAAGGAAAGAAAATCATTTTCTTTACTAATTAAAGAATCAAGGTAAACTTACCTTATCCCATTTCTCTAGATCATCGACGATATTGTACAAATCGATCATCATACTTCCCGAAAGAGCGTTTTTCCTACTTGGATTGTCGAGTTTGATGAAGGCGATACCCTTTTCCTCGTCTTTTATCAGTTTCACTGAACCCGCTGAATATTTGGCGAATTTACTTTTCAATTCATCTAAATTCTTTTTATGACCATTTTCCATAATGGAAACAATTGGAGTCACTTCACTTTCCCTGGTTGACATGTTGACACTTCTCTCCAACACTCACAATATCAGTACGAACAATAACAAGTGAGAGTTTAGAATAAACTTCTCAAGGTAGAAAAGGAAAACATTAAACTTTAATGAAGAAGAAGAAGAAGATGATGATGATGATGATGATGAATTTCAACCAAACAGGACAGAATGGAGATAAGTACAATAATGTTAATGATGTTGTTCTGTTGATGATGCTGATGAAAGAGAAAAAGATAAATCAATTGAGAGACAATGAGAGAAAGGAAAAAAGCGACAGAAAAGTTGATTGGTAAATTATCTTATTCTCAGCTCTTTCTAGATGTTCAAAAGTTATCAATGGTCTATTAGTTGTAGTTAATATTTACAAATAATTTAGTAAAAAACAACTACAATCAATCACAGTGTTGAAATAAACAATTTCAATTGATTGCACAGTTAGAAAAAGGTTTTCAATTGTAACGGTGATTAATCATAGACTAGATTATATCTCTTAGGATATTGTAGAGGTAATAGATTGTCGAGGAAGAAGGAAAAATAAATGATGGTCGGTTAATTGTAGACTGGATGAGATGTTAACTGGTAAATTGTGTATCTAATTAACTAGAAAAGAATGGAAATTAAAAGAAATTAGTGCCAACAATTAACAAATAGCTAGAAAAATAAACAAGAAACTCAACAAGTAAAACCATTGAATAAATAGAGCAAGAAAAATATCAAAATTTCATCAAATTAAATTACATCCAATAGATATTTAGTTTGATTAGTTACTCTAATTCCATGTAATTAACTGATCACCAATTAATTTGATTAGTTAATTACACAATACAAAATCTAATAAGTATCAGTTCAATGTGAATGGTTAAATTATGATGAAATTGTAACAAAATGATTACGTTGATCAAATGGTTTATATTTTTAGACTTACAATTAGTTTCCTTGGTTTCTCTTGATGTTAGAAGGTTAATTAACACAACAATTAAATTGATAAGATGAGAAATTAATGGAAAAACAATCAAATTAAATTAAATGAAGTGAATTTTTGTTTCTAATTGAGAAATAAAAACAATGAGAACATTAGTTTCAATAGAAAACGTAAGATGTCACCAGGAATTGAACGAAATTAAAAATTTGATTAATTGTGAATCTTTTTTAATTGCTCGTAATTAAAAATGTAAACAGAAAACAATTGAACAAAATTAATGAACAATTTAAATTAAAAAACGTTCAAGTTAAACTTTTGTTTAAATCTAATCTCGAGTAAAATAAGTTAATCCAATTGAGGGAGAAAAAGAAAAGAAAAGTTTATCAATTATAATTAAAAGGAAAAAGGGAAAATCACAAAGGATGTTCATGTTTAAATTAGAAAATAACAATTAAATTAATTAATTGTTTTTCTCCGTAAGAGAGAAAAATTAAATTTAATTGTTTACCATTTAGAGAAAAAAATGATTAGCTTAATATCTAAATGATCCAACAGATGGGGTTAGTGTAACTGAGAAAAGTTCGAATGAACAAACGGTTCCATCTATCGGAACTGAAGAAAACTACAGAACATGAGATTTTTTGTTTTCTGTTTGTTGAGTTTCTAAATCAATATCTTCAGTTGAAATGTTTCCCTGAACAGATAAATTTGTATCCACCTTAGTTAACTTTTTTTTTATATCTAAAATTATAAATATCTGAACTCTAATCTGTTTATATTTTTTATTTCTCTCTGTATCTCAGAGTGTGCGATATGTGACAGAACCACTTCAGTGGTTCCATGGTGGTAAACCATGGTGGGAATGCTTAAAGCATTTTGAACGCAATTCTTGCGTTTTTATTTTTCTTTTTGTTTTCTTTTTGTTTTGTCTTTAGGTTAACTCAATCACTTACATACACATACACACAATTCAAAATCCAAAATCTCCAAAACCCAAGAAAACAAAAGCAAAAAAAAACATTCATCACAACAAATCAGTTCTCTGATTTTAGATATTCTTTTTTTTTCTAAATTCTCTTTTCCCTTTTCTTGGGTTAACTGTTATATTTGATTTCCTCTTCGGTCATCATCATCTTCTAATATTCCCCATCCCTTGATTGATAATCGCTCAGTTTGTTGTTGTTGTTTCTTTTTTTTTCCACTCAAAATCTGTCTCGACGTTTTGTTTTCTATTCTCTTTTTCCTTTTTGTTCTATTCGAATTTTAGAATTTTCTCTCTTCTTTTTTTTTCTTTTCTATTTTTTATCTCTGTGTTGATTGTTTTTCTTATTGTGGTAATGGTGATACTTTCTGTTTATAACAATATGAACTGTCTCAATCAATCTACTAAATATCGCCTGTTTCAACAATCTCCATCATCATCCTCACCACAACAACAACCAACTCCATCTCCAAATAAACAACAACAACAGCAACAACAACAACATAAAAAAATTCATCATCATCATCATCATCAACATCAACAGGCTTTTTCATCCCAACAACAACATTTATCGCAACAAGGTAGACACAATTTCCAGAGAACCAGCATCACTACAACTACCACCACAAATACCACAACAATTGATAAAAGTGATACTTTAAACCCAAGGTTAATCTTTGATTGCCATCAACCTCAACAACCTCAATCACCTCAACACAATTTTAATCAAATTCGTCACCATAATCATCATCTTTTTCACCATCACTATCTAAATACAAATAAAGCCAAACGTGATCATCTTCACCACCATCAACATCAAATTAAATCCAATGTATATCCAAACAGTAATGATCCAAGTAATACAACATCTTCTCATTTTAAAGATGATTACCATAAAGAGATACTGAGACCTTACATTCAACCTCCTCCTAATCGAACTGTATTAAGATGTTGTGATCATTTGAATTGTGATAGTGGTAAATTAATTAGTAACAGCTGATGACAGCAGCTCTCCTCTCTCTTTCTCTATGACTCTCTTACCAGCTCTCACTCTCGCATCTCCACATTTCTATTTGTATCTCTCTTAAGTCTTTTTTTACTCGCTCATCATCACCACCATTTAAACCAATTTCATCTTCATCATCACACCTTCTCCTATCAATAATGTCTACCATTAACATCGACAAACACAAATTTCTCGTCTTATTTTCATACATTGGCACCAAGTACAGGTACATATACACCTAATCATTCTTGGCAAGGTTAACCCTCTTTCCCTTATTATCCTCCTTGTTTCTTTTTCCTTCTTTCTACTTTCTCTCATTTCATGTTCTCACTTGTTTTCTACACCATGAAAGTCTTCCAAGAAAATTCATGCTATTTTCTCCTTTCCTTCCTTATCTTCTCTCTATTTTTCTCATTCAATTTTTTCTTCTCTTCCTGTTTTCTTTTCTCAATAGTGGAATCCAAAGGCAAACGGCCAGAGTGTTAAAAGAAGGCAAAAGCTCATCGGACAATACCGTTCAATTCTATATTGAGGTTAGCGATTGTGATCCATGCTCTTTCCATCATTGTCACCATTTCAATGTTACACATTATCAAGTCAAAGTAGATCACATAAATTAATTTAATGTGAAATGAAATATTGGTCTTGATTGTTAGCGTCTTTCCAGCGTAGAGTCCAGTCATTAGATGCATTTCTTTGAACAAATGAGAAAACGATGTAAACAAGAGAAAGCATGTTTCTTTTTTCTCTCTCAGTATTTACCATCTATTCTGTTTGCTTCTCTCTCTCTCTCTCTCTCTCTCTCTCTCTCTCTCTCTCTCTCTCTCTCTCTTCTCAAGTTCAGCAACATACATACCCTTAAATGGATCGCGTAACATACAAGTTAATTTGTAGCAGAAAGAGAAAAGAAAATATTGGGTAACCAAGCATCTCTCTCACTCATATACATCATCTTTTTTCTCTCACTTTTATCTTCAACTACTTTTCACTTTTATTTTATCATTTTCTCTCTCTTTACCATGAAAAAACAACAACAACAACATTGTGTAACTTTTTTATCTTCTTCTTTTTTATTGCATCTCTGCTCATATTCTGAACAACCAGCAATCCTTGGAAACCATAAATCCAAAGCCAAGCCAAGATGTTAAATTTTCAGTTAGCAGCAGAACTGACAGAGGTGTCCACGCTTTTGAAAACTCGGCGCAACTTGAAATTTCCCATCCAAATCCAATGGAAACTTATTGTCCAAGTCATCTAATCGAAACAGCAAATGATTATTTCAAATCTCAAAATCATGATATCAAGTACGCACCATGTCCCTTTCCTTTAATATCTTATTTATACCTATTGATTTTTCACCCTTTTTCAACTTAAAATGTTGACTATCTCGAAACCAAAGGGTTAACCCAAAAATGTTACCCTCGTATCCTTATCCTTCTAGTTCAATAATCCATTAATCCTTTTTTATCCTCTACCATTTCAGCCAATTCCACACCGATTAACATTCCTTTACCTGATCCTTATTCCCTCATTAATCAAAAAACATTTTCAATCAAAAATTCCCTGATTCTTGACATTGATTAGACTCACTTGAACCAGTCTAGACTCATTTTTTCTCAATTTTCATTCTCACTCATTTATATATATATATCTCTCTCTCTTTTATATTTATCAACTCACTAACTCAACGGTCTTAAACTTATGATCATGAACCATAAAAAAAACTGAAACCAAATGTCATCATGATGTTTACTTTCAACATGGATAAACAAAACTATCATCATATTGGTAATGATATGAACACCGACCAAACAATAACTATATCTGGTTAATCAGGTTAAACAAAATTCATCTCATATCACCAGAATTTCACTTTCGTAAACATATTAAATGGCGATCTTATTATTATCGTTTAGCTGTTGTCAAACCTGAAATATCAACCCAATCCTCCTTTCAACCGGAAAGCTATATACCCATCAATGAGCTTAATCGTTGTAGTCTCGTTCGGTATGTTTACTTATCGAGGTTCCAGTCGAATGATGATCAATTTTAAGAAGATGGAAAGGGAAAACAAGCTCGCATAATCATCATCATCATTGATATAAAATCATTATCATGTTTTTTTTTCTCAGTAAAAATGAAAAAAAAACCGAAATGAACTTTATCGCTCGATCCAAACAACGTTTACCTTTCCATCCTGTTAAACCATCGCTTCTTTGAAGATTTTTCCTTCTTCTTCATCTAATTTCTCTTATTCTCTTCCGTCTTTTGTACTTTTTATTTTCATGGTGATAATCATGAAGAGTACCGCTGAACCTTGATTTAGATATCATGTCTGAGGCTGTTGACTATTTCCAAGGAACTCATAACTTCAGTGGTTTCGCCGCTTTCTCACGAAGTCTCAACTTTTATTCTGACGATTATTTCACTCGAACAATCGATTCGATTACCTTTAATCAGATTGACTGTGAACCTTTGGAAAAAATGGATCCCGCTTATCGAAACATTAACCTTTACGAATTCAATATAACATCAAAAGGTTTTCTCTACAGACAGGTAAGGTTATCAATTCTTTTATCATATTATTATTATTATTATAATTTGAACTTCTATTTAGTTGTATTCATATAATGTTATGTAAATGAAAGTCTGGGACAATTAATTTACCTTTGTAAAATTTACCTTCAACTTTTGGGTTTGTCATGTTTTAATTGTCAATGAAGATCAACATGATGATAATGAACAAGTTAAGCTGTTGCGCACTCCAGTTACCTACATTTACCTAATTGAATTTGTCCGACCTTGATGAGAGAGTGAAAACTGAATCATGAGAAAAGTTCATTGGAATCATATTCAACTCTTTCTCTCTCTCTATCTCTCTCTTTCACAGTTAGTTGGTTAATCAATATTTTCACCACGATTAAACTACTAACTACTGTGTATTGAATTAACATTATTATTGCATTATTATACAATAACATTTAAACAGACACACACACACACAGATAGACAATTACAAGAAGAAAATTACTCGGTAATAATACAATAATAACGTAACTAAAATTTACTACAAATACATGATGATGATTAGAGTAAACATGAGGATCGCAGTCAATTAGCTTCATTTGTGTCTAGACACAATAACTTAATCAACACCATCAGTAATCAATTGATTATTATCAAATTTTATCTTCATCTTGATTGAACTTATACAAGTACATCATCACTAGTATATCATCAATTCAAGTCACGAAAGCTTAAATCTTAAAGGTTAAACTTTGGTTTTATTGGGTAAATCTATCATCATCATCATCGTCCTAATCATCAGCACTCTGATAATGTAAAAATCAGATTAAATTGTTACTTCATTTAGATGTGTTATCGATCATGATGATAAGTGTGTATTTGTATGTTGATTAAACTTTTTCTTCCGCGTAAAAATAATCGCTGATTTATCAAAGAAAAAAAGTGAACCTGTTTCTTTGAGACGAATTACAATCAAATTACAACTCCACCCCTACCTCCCACATTTCTCTCTCACTCTCTTCCTCTCTCTCTCTCTCTTGTCTTCCTTCCTCCAGACTCTCTCCCACTCCCCCTTTTCATCATCATTGTCTCTCTCACTCACTCATTCAGTTTCTCTCCCTCAAGTGTCTAGACGGATTTCAGTTTTTCTTTTCTAGGTCATTCAGTTAACACGTCATTTTTTTTCTTTACTCTTATTTTACTTACTCACAATTTCCTCCGTAAACAATTATTTAACTAAGTTTAACAATTACAATTATTATGACTGATTATCACTATTTAATTACTTCAGACAGTTTAATTGTTAACTAATTACATCAATAAAACTTTCCCCTTTTTTTCTTGGTTTTTCAATATTATTATTAATGATTTATTATTATTATCTAATAAATTTTTTTTTGTTTCTTCCCATTCATTTGAGATGATTACAAGACTTAATCAACAGGTTAATTGTTGTTAATTGCGATTAAATTTTGCAATCATGCTGAATACTCAATATTATTCTCGTTCTCTAGACTTAATGAGTAATTTAACGTTTCCCCTTTTTTCTAATTACATTAAATCAACTAATTAATCTGCCAATTTAACAAAAAAAAACGAATGAAATTATCAATAGGCTGATTTGATTAGAAAAATATTAACAATTATATAATCATTTACAATTAGGATTCTATTTTTTCCGTTCAATCATTACCTTAATTATCAAAAAGTATTACATTGTCTGTTGGATTTCACAATTATCCTGACAAATCAACAATTCTCATTAATGATTATCAAATGATTTACTGATTGTCTACAAATATTAATAATTATTATCTCTCTCTCTCTCTCTCTATTTCCATATTTATATGTATCTAATTAATATTAAATTATTTCTCGTTGAATGATTTATATTTTTGTAGTTAATTGTTGTTGATAATTAACTTGCCCGCGGTTAATTGTAAATCACAATTATGAGTTTGATTTATGTTACATTTTCGTTTACAATTTAAATTGTTGCTACAAATTGACGTTTTTAGTAAACTTCAAGGTTTCCTTATGATTAGAAATATAAAAATAAAACAATCAACAACAATAATTATTGGAAGACATTGATGATAACTTTTTGTTAATCAAGAGTAACAAAAATTCAATTACAATCAATATCGACCAATAATAATTCTTGGAACCTGTCGGTTCATTGCAACCCTGCGCTTGGCGAGTTTGTTACCTTGCACTCAGGTAACACTAGTTAATTTCCTCTCATCATCTTAATTACTTTTGCTTGATTAATGTCAAGGTGACTTACTATCTAATGACACAGTCAACTTGTCACTACACTTATCCAGCCATCTAGAGTTAGCAATCATTTTTATTTCACTCGCTCAGGCAATGATAGTCAGGTAGAGATAATTGTTGATATCGGATGACCATTTGAAGAGGGTAGAGGTCATCATAATACATCACATGTATCTCTGGGTTAACTTTATCTCTCATTGATACAATAATCAATAGATTTACGGTAAAAAATGAGTAAATTGTTGATTAGTTTTATTTTGTTTTCACTTTAAAAGACAATCAATGTCATCATTAGACAACCAAACTGATTAGATTTGTATAATCAGCTGAGCAATGTAATAATAATCACTAATAATATTCCCAGACTAAATGAATGATTCACTTAATTGCTTCAACATCGTTAATTGATTTTCATCCTTGATTCAGTTTAATTGCTACTATGCAAATCCATGAGATTCACAATTTAGGCTCTGTGCCTATTAGTTAAGGTGTGTATATGATTTTCCCACAACAATTTAAAACTAATATGCTGATTATCAATGATTCATTACTAATCAACAATTTACAATCAATTTTTTCTTCATTATTATTAAATTAATCCAAATAAATAGTTGAACGTCAATTTCATTGCTGATTTGCTTAATTGTTGATTTTTTCGCTTCATCTTATCTTTAACCTGTTGGATTAATTGAATAATTTCAATCATAAGCTACTTAATCGCTAACTTGACTGATTAGTATTGTTTAATTAGTTAATCACCATTAATTTTTAACTGTTGACCCTAATACTATTTATTAACTTGACCACTTGATTTAGTCTTTATTTTATCTTAATTATTAATCAATGGATTAAGGATTCATATCGATTTGATCATTGATTTTACTTAATTATTGCACAATTATCATTGAGTAAAAATTAAGTGTACAATTAATTTGATTGGAGTAAATTAAATTGTTTGCTTAATTGATCATAAAAGTTGAGAAAATTATTATTATTATTAGATTTTAATTGATAAACTGTTGGAATATTGTCATAAAAAGTTAATTTAAACTTGCAAACAGATAAAGATTAACTAATTATCAGCCTTAATTATTAATCTAAATTGTTATTATTATGATGACAATTAAACTAAGTTTATTGAACATCCTCATTGGTGACAGTTAAATTGCTGTTATCATGATGCCAAAGTTGAGGCCTCAATGAGAGACCGTGATTGAATTTAATATCGTTACATAGTAATGATATTGATCATAAAAGGTTAATTATATTGGAAAATTTAATTATTATTTGAATACATTACATGAGAATTTGATTACAAGTTGATTAAAGAAAATAATGTGAAAGATGTTAATCAAGTTTTAACCTGATCGTTGTTGATGATTGTAATTTTATTATCATCTTATTGCAATCAAATCAATCACAATCAAAGGTATTCCCGAAAATAATAATAATTTGGGTTCCCAATCATTGAGAAATCAAAGGGATATGAAATTAAAAGTTTAATTTGATTTATGACATTTACCTTTACCTGGGAGTTGTCCTTCTCATCCTCATCTCTTATTTTTCCCTCTCATTCTGTATAAATTTTTACTATTTATCTGTTGTTTTTACTCATCATCATCATGGCCTCATCTTTTTCATCATCTCCATCATTTCCAATGTTGATGAGGCACCAATCTGATGCTATGCCTTCAGGCTATTTTATTACATCCCAAGTCAACATTGATATAACTTTCAAGTCTATCTCCTGACCAATGGTATTTATAAAGCATCACCTCATGTTCATCTCACGCCTTATCTTATTTATCATCATCATCATCATCATCATCATCATCTTCATCATCTCTCATTCAATCTTTCTCTTCATATTTTTATCTTCCTTTTCCCCTTTTACTTTGCAACAAAATTGGCTTAACCATGATAATAATGAGTGAGGTAATTTACAAGTTAATTGTGGACAATTAGAGGTTCACATCAGTTAACCAGACACAATTAAACTGAATCGACGTCACTCTTAATGATAATTAACTTAATAACAATCAAACCTTTGGACTTGATTGACCTTAAATATAATGAGCTATAAATATATTAGTAATTACTTTGTTTCTTTTCCTATCAATATAATATATTTATCATTTCCATCCTCATCAATTCTCAACAGAAAACCTTATTAATTAAATTACTGAATTTGATCATTTACAATTGAATTAAGAAAGAAAGATTAGAAAAATCTCTTCCGAATCCTTTTCACATGATTTCAGTAAACGATGAAAAAGATGAAGATGAAGATGAAGATAAAGAAACCTCAAAAGTATAAAAAAGGGTTTGATGTCATCAATCCCTGTCGTCTGGACCCTGCCTTTTATTTCAAATAATTTTTTGGGGATCTTGGGAGTGGTTCTCTCTCTCTCTCTCTCTCTTCATTTCACTTCTCATCTTTTATCATTATTTTCATCTTCTGGTATGATGATGAGAAAAGAGGCCTTATTGTATTAAGGAAATACCTTCTCAATTTATTCTTAATTAGCTTCTCGCTCCCTCTCTTCTCACTGTCTATGATATTTCTTGTTGCATCTTCCAATAGTAACACATGATGTTCACTTGACTGGACTTGAACATAAAATTCATTATCAAATATAACGATCAAGTTAATGAATATACTGTCTGAATTATTAATGATTTCTGTCTGTCTACGAGAGTTTTTCACTTATCTTTTCTTTTTGCCAACGTAAGCCTTTCTCTCTCTCTCTCTC